GGGCTGTTCATGACCTGATCTCCTATAAAATGCTAATTTAGATAGTATGGTGGGATACTAGAGTCATCAAACCATCTCATTCTCATGGGGAATTCGCTACCTCCCTGCCCCCCAGCAGTTATTTCCTACACATATTTTTGCAGCAGTGAGGAGGTTTGCTACTACCTCCACATCTGAAACTAAATTATTTCTACGGAGCCTAGAAATGATATTTTCAGTGCTATATCCCAAAGGCTTCTGTTGTTGCTGTTTTTTGCATGTGGCATGAAACAACCCCCTGAACTAAACGTGGTTCTGGTTTTGCCTTTCAGAGAACAAGGAAAAGAAAAAGAACGCAAAAAGGGAGAGGAAACAGAGGAGGAAGAAAAAGCTGGAATCTCTCATGGTTATTTAATCGCCGTCAGAGCAAGTGGAAATGTCCGGGAGGGGAGCAGTACATGAGGCAGTCCAGCAGGGGGCATCCTAGTGGACGAAAAAAAGACCTTCTTTCTCTGCCTCTGCGAGGTTCCTTCCTCAGCTATTTTTGCATTGTTGTTGTTTTTCCATCTTTTCCATCCAGATCACGTTGCACAATCCTTCTTTCCAGCAAGAGAGAAAAGGAAGCCTTTGCGGCCTGTCAGATGTTTCCCCTTTAGAGGTCCTAATTTGTTGCCACACACACATCTCCCTCCTCACCCCCAGATTGCCGGCACAGACAGAACGGTATGGAAAAGAACGCCGGGGGCCGTACGGCGTTGTGTCCCTGACACTCCCTGCACAGCCTTCGTTGGAAAGGCACCCCAGAGGGACTCAGAGAAGAGCAAAGAAGGAGGACATCTCCCAAAGGATGGAAAGAGGCTGTAATTCAAAGGTGGAGCACCTGTTTGGGGCTGGAAAAGGCCTCTCTGCCCGAACCCCTGGAGAGCTGCTGCTGGCCAGTGTAGGCAAGCTGAGCTAAATGGACCAATGACCTGACTTGGTACGAGGCAGATTCTTTTATGTTCCAGAGGCGGCAAGTCACCCTGACTCGTTGGCTTGTAGGCTTGTGTTTATCTCAATGCAAATATACCACAGGTGTTCACAGGTGGGTGGATAACCAGCTCTCCTGGCTTTCCCAAATGGGCCGACCCAGACTGCCTTGCACCCTTTGCCTGGGAGCAGGCGAGCTCACCTAGCAGAACTGATGAACGGAGAAGCTGGCTAGGATCTAGCAGCCCCCCAGAGTATCTTTCCTCCTAAGAAGAGGCCGGGAAGTCTTTCGATGCGTTTGCTAGGCCGCCACGCAATGCTTGCCTTCTCTCTCTCCCGCCTCCCTTCCCTACTTGGAACCCATAAAGGCAGGATCCTCTCTGCACAGATGCCAAAGCGGTTTGCCCGGAGTGTCTCTTGATCTCCGTCTTCTTCACGCAGGAGGAGGTGTGATGGCTGGGCAGTTGACAGGGGCTCACTGATGCATGTGGAAAGTCCAGCAAGTCAAGCCCTAGACCTGGTCACCCTCTGCGCTGCTTCTCCAGCGCACTTTCGTTGGAGAGGCTCTTGCTGCAAGATGGCTCCGTGTCAAAAAAGTCTTTGAAAGGCCTCTGGTGGTTTCTCTCCATTCAGGCGACCATGAGGGGTGCATGAATATCCCCCCCATATTGTTCTTCCATTTGTTTTTGGCATTAATAACGCCACTCCTTTCGTTTATTGAAATGGCAGTTGTTCTCGTTATTCACTTGCAAAAAAGCTCCTTTCTTCTGCAGGCTTTCCTTCCTTTCCTCGTTTATTGTGGCTCGGCCCCCAAATTTGGAGCAGTGGCAGCAGAGCTTGATTTCACTGCCTGCATCTTCCCAGCAACCCTTGCTTTATTTTCCCAGAATGCCCCTGGTTGTCGTGTCATTCTGGAGCACAGGGAGAGGAGTGCCAGCTGCCATTTAACGACCTGGAACGATGCAACACCCAGGGCATTCTGGGAAAACAAAATGTCTCTTGTTTCCACTTCTACTGCAGGAACTTTCCACATAATCCTGAATGACACATGAAAAATGAGTGCATATGGGATATCAGTCATGAACCTAGTTTTACCCATCCCTATTGGCATTTGCGAGCTATTGGCTTAATTTTGGTGCATTTTAAAATTTGTTATGAAATGAATGCATACCGCTGTACGGGGGGAGGATAAGGAAAGATTTGGGGTCTGAGCAAGTGGTACTCTAAGGCTACAGCCCAAATGGCACTATTCAATGGGCTGGATGCAGACTAGGTTGGCTGAAGTTAGGGCTCATTGAAATCAATGGGACAAGTTGGTCATAACAACTTCAGGGGCGGAGGAAGGAGGGTGCGGTGGGTGCGGACCGCCCCAGGTGTCACCACTGAGGGGGGTGACAAAACGCTGGGCGGCACTCACCGCGGGGCCCGCAGCGCGCCTGAGCCACGCGTCTCTCCTGGGAGTGCCTGCAGGCTCCATGCTGCCCCAAATGGTCTGCCCACTGCCTCCCCCTTAGCTGTGAGGCGGCTGATTGGGAGGAGGCAGGCAGATGCCTCGGAGGCCCGGTGGAGTGGCCTGCCCCAGCTTGCCCCGCCCCACAGACAACTAGCCCCGCCCCCTAGGTAGCTGGCCCCACTCCCTGGGTAGCTGGCCCCACCCCTGGGTGCAGAACACGCACACAGCCCCAGGTGCCCAATCGGCTTGCTCTGCCACTGAACGACTTACGTCTCATCAATTTCAGCGGGAACTAAGGGCAACTAACTTCACCTGGAGCCGAGCCATTGGGGCCATAGCTGTCAACTTTCAGATTTGAAAATAAGGGATCAGCAGCCTCAAAAATAAGAGATCAGCAGCCTCACCTGTCCTGGGGACAGTCTACGGGATATCTAACAATCCGGGGTAGCGGTGGGAAGCAGCGGGAAACGGCGCTGGAATAAGGGAATTTCCTGCAAAAAAAGGGAAGGTTGACAGCTATGATCGGGGCTCACTTTGGATTCAACAAGCCTGGAGAGTCAAGGAAGGACAACTCTCTTGCCGGAGAACTCCTGGAAGTGACTCCAGCTCCTGAAATGCCCCGGGACAGGGCCCAGAAGAGAAATAACCCAACCCAGTTTGTACAGACAGATCATGAGGATTTATCCTGTAGTTGGAGCTGAGCTGTGTCTCTGTCTACCATCTGCTACAATGGCGTTGCAGAGTTTCCAAGTCAAAATTTTGAAGAGAGAGCGAGTGAGAGAGAAAGTGCATTTGCTAAATCAGTCCCATAGCCGTAATCCTTCCTGCTACAAAACCTCAGATTTGAAAATTAACCTGGGCCCTAGAGTTGCATTTCCCTGACACAACACGCGGGAAGCTCTCTTGCATGACCAAAACCTATAGCAGCGATGGTTTTCCACAAGGCCCAAACAGGGAGGAACTTCCCAGTGGAGAAATCCTGTTAGTTCTATAGGGAAAATGAAGGAATCTCAATTGCTCTATAAGTGGCAAAGGAGGCCAACCTTCGAAACCCACAGCTGAGCAAGACCTTTATTGGGATAACTGAGCAATACGTCACAAAAGTGGCATGAGCTTTTGAGTTCCACAGAACTCTTCATCAGCCTAGAGGTTGCACAAACTGCAGGAAGTGAGGGGGGGTGGAAGGGAAAGGGGGGAAAGTACAAAAGAGCACCACATTCAGCCCCCGACCTGCATCTTGGAACTGAGTCTACAGAGTGAACTCGTGGCTAAGTATCAGCTTAATTTTTATACTTAATAAAGAAATCCTCTCCCCCTTCCCACTTTATGTTGTCCAGCTGAGGGTTTGTGGAGGGTCCAAAACCCCAACAATCTACCCCCTTTACTTTATTTTAGTTACTTGCCTTTGAGAAAACTTGCACTGTAAGCCTACATAGGTACATTTCTTCAGCAAGATGCAGATTTTTGGATAGGTTCCTGTGATTCTGGATGAAAGCAAATTACATTTTATTGTTGCTATGAATAATAAATATATATATATATATATATAATATAGAGAATTTATTTGTAGAATGTCAATGTATTTAAAATGCTCTTCGTCATATAGATTTATTTCTTCAATTTTGTTTTAAATGTATTTTTGTTTTTGTTTAAAAAAATGCATTGTAAATAGAAACCTCTGTTTGAAACCTTGTCGAGACTTAGGCTGAAAAAAAGAAATGTGATTGCATGGAAGATGGACACAACCACATCTTAAAAGAAAAGCTTTCCAAGGAAAGGGATATTTTTGTTGTTGTTTTTTTGTTTTGTTTTTACATACACATTTTTTGCAGCTACCACTTGGGGGCGCTACAGAGTAGAGGATGGCTGGTACTCCGTTCTTGCATTTAATACAATTTCGGCTGTTGCCTTCTAGTGAATGCAAGTGAAACGCAAAATCTGCAACTGCTACGGTTTTGTATATTGCTTGTATCACTTTCAAAAGCAGGGCAGCTGTCTGACTTGTTTGCTTTCCAATAAAAACGTTCTTTTTTAAAAAAAAAACCAAAACTTCTGAATGTGTGCATTATATGTTGTTGTTGTTGTTTAGTTGTTTATTCGCGTCCGACTCTTCGTGACCCCATGGACCAGAGCATGCCAGGCACTTCTGTCTTCCACTGCCTCCCGCAGTTTGGTCAAACTCATGCTGGTAGCTTCCAGAACACTGTCCAACCATCTCGTCCTCCGTCGTCCCCTTCTCCTTGTGCCCTCCATCTTTCCCAACATCAGGGTCTTTTCCAGGGAGTCTTCTCTTCTCCTGAGGTGGCCAAAGTCTTGGAGCCTCAGCTTCAGGATCTGTCCTTCCAGTGAGCACTCAGGGCTGATTTCCTTCAAAATGGAGAGGTTCGATCTTCTTGCAGTCCATGGGACTCTCAAGAGTCTCCTCCAGCACCATAATTCAAAAGCATCTATTCTTCGGCGATCAGCCTTCTTTATGGTCCAGGTCTCACTTCCATACATCACTCCCGGGAAAACCATGGCTTTAACTATACGGCCCTTTGTTGGCAAGGTGATGTCTCTGCTTTTTAAGATGCTGTCTAGGTTTGTCGTTGATTTTCTCCCAAGAAGCAGGCGTCTTTTAATTTCGTGACTGCTGTCACCATCTGCAGTGATCATGGAGCCCAAAAAAGTAAAATCTCTCACTGCCTCCATTTCTTCCCCTTCTATTTGCCAGGAGGTGATGGGCCCAGTGGCCATGATCTTCGGTTTTTTGATGTTGAGCTTCAGACCATATTTTGCGCTCTCCTCTTTCACCCTCATTAAAATGTTCTTTAATCCTCCTCACTTTCTGCCATCAAGGTTGTGCCTTGCTTATTTAGAGGAGGATTAAGCCAGGGATAGGGAACATGTGGCCCTCCTGGTGCAGTTGGACTACAACTCCCATCATCCCTGTCTATTGACCACATTTTGATGGATGCTGGTTGTAGCCCGAAACATCTGGAGGCACCAGGTTGCAGGAGACTGACAAAGGAACCAACAGGAATGCAAAAGCCTTCTCCCATCCATAACCCCCAACACCGACATTCGTAGAATCATGGAATTGTAGAATTGTAGAATTCGAAGGGACCCGAAGTCACATCTGGTTCAACCCCCTGCAAGGCAGGAATCTCAGCTAAGGCATCCACAAGAGATGGCCATTCAACCTCTGCTTAAAAACCACCAAGGAAGGAAAGTTCACCACCTCCTGAAGGAGACCGCTCCACTGTCAAACATCTCTTACTGTCTTAAGTTCTTCCTAATATTTAGTCGGAATCTCCTTCCTTGCAACTTGAATCCATTGATTTGGGTCCTACCCTCCAGAGCAGGAGAAAACAAGTTTGCTCCACCTTCCATGTGACAGCCCTTTACATATGACTCTCATAATAATAATAATAATAATAATAATAATAATAAATTATTTATACCCTGCCCATCTGGCTGGGTTTCCCCAGCCACGCTGGGCAGCTTCCAACACAATATTAAAATACAGTAGTCCGTCAAACATTAAAAGCTTCCCTAAACAGGGCTGCTTTCAGATGTCTTCTAAAAGTCAGCGCTGGGCCTCGGCGCTGGACCTCAGTGTCCGGGCAGAATGATGGAGGTGGAGATGCTCCTTCAGGTATACTGGGCTGAGGCAGTTTAGGGCTTTAAAGGTCAGCACCAACACTTTGAATTGTGCTTGGAAACATACTGGGAGCCAATGCAGGTCTTTCAGGACCAGTGTTATATGGTCTCAGTGGCCTCTCCCAGTCACCAGACTAGCTGCCGCATTTTGGATTAGTTGTAGTTTCCGGGTCACCTTCAAAGGCAGCCCTACGTAGAGCGCATTGCAGTAGTCCAAGCGAGAGATAACCAGAGCATGCGCCAACTCATATCACCTCTTGGACTCCTCTTTTCCAGGCTAAACATACCCAGCTCCCTCAACCATTTACTCATAAGGCTTGGTTTCCGCCCCCTTCATCATCTTGGCTGCCCTCCTCTGCACACATTCCAGCTTGTCAATATCCTTCTTAAATTGTGGTGCCGAGAACTGGACAGAGGAAACAAAATGATAGTGGCTTTAGCCTTTGGCAGGATTCTCCTCCTTTATAGCACTGCAGTGCTCAGAACCAGATGTGATTCTCCAGGTGTGGCTCGATTAGGACAGAATACAAACTCACAGAACCACCCCTTTCAATTGGTGGGCAAGTCAGTGGAGGGAAGGCAAAAAGATGCACTGGTGTGTTGGGTTGCCAGACCTCCAGGTTCACCTGGCTCTCTCCAGGTGGCAGGTTGGAGGGTATGGATCTCCAGGTGAACAATATGGTCTTTAGTAGTAATAATAGCAATAACAACAATAACAGCAATAACTATGATGATAATCGGGCCGCGCCTGCTCCTTGCAAGCTTCAGCTCAGCAGGAGATGCCTGCAAAGTATAGCATATAAACCAGCCTTTCTCAACCTATGGGTCCCCAGATGTTGTTGAACTATAACTCCCATCATCCCTAGCTAGCAAGGCCAGAGCTCAGGGATGATGGGAGTTGTAGTCCAACAACATCTGGGGACCCACAGGTTGAGAACCACTGATATAGACCATGGGTAGGCAAACTAAGGCCCAGGGGCTGGATCCGGCCCAATCACCTTCTAAATCTGGCCCGTGGATGGTCTGGAAATCAGCGTGTTTTTACATGAGTAGAAAGTGTCCTTTTCTTTAAAATGCATCTCTGGGTTATTTGTGGGGCCTGCCTGGCGGTTTTTACATGAGCAGAATGCGTGCTTTTATTTCAAATGCATCTCTGGGTTATTTGTGGGGCACAGGAATTCTTTCATATATTTTTTTCTTTTCAAAATATAGTCCGTCCCCACCCCACAAGGTCTGGAAAAGTTTGCTGACCCCTGGCATAGACACTCTGTCCACTCCCCTCTCCCAATTAACCTCCGTCTCCAGGGCCCAGCCAATGATGTCATCAGGGGATCGTCACAACAACATCACCAATGGCCTCCACTAGTGACATTGCCATGCCCCCCCCCCCAGGTCTCAGCTTTGTGTCCTGAAATCTCAGCATCTGGGGTGCTCCTGAACTGGCACCCCTACCTATGTGGTGGAAATGCCTCATTTTCTCCGTCCTGGGTGTTTCCAGAGTTCCACCCCCTTGTTTTGCACCTGGTTCTGGTTATTTGACCTGCGGGTTCCAGTAGAAAACCAAGTAGTTCTTGCAGGCTTGAAGAAGAACAGCCAGATTATTTAGCTGTGATTCCAGCATTGCAGGAGATTAGACTGGATAACTCATTGGGACCCATTCCAACTCTACGATTCTGTGGGGCTGCACCAATGGCCTCCCAGAAGTGGCAGCAGCATCACAGTTGCTTCCCAGGAGGGGCAAAGTGGGGCTTCACAAGCCTGCCCCGTTGGCCTAACGTGGACTGGATTTGCATCAAGCATTCCCATTTCCATTAGGACGCAGGAAAAGCTGGGCTAGTTCCCATCCCAACTGCAGGCCAAAGGGCAGCATCTCAAAGGAGCGATCCCGCTCAACATGTAAACAGAGCCGGCTGGGATGTTTATTTGCCCAGCTGGCACGGGCCCAGGGTGCCTGGCAGGGCGGAAAGGGAGAATTCCTCCAAGTTTCTCTTGCGACATCTCTGACAAGGACTAGAAATGCGAAGAGTCTCTCTTGCGTTGTTTGGACCTAAGCAATGTATCACCTTGGGTTTGAATAATGAGAAGAAGGCAATAAACCACGTTGTAGAACCTTAGCTGTACTGCAAGACATTGCAGAATATTCTGTATCCATAAGAAGGTTTAGCCCAGGCTATCTGAAGGACCGAATTCTCCCCTATGAACCTGCCTGGGCTCTGCGATTTTCACCAACATTCCTGCAATGAAAATAGGGACATTTCATTCCTTCAGCAATATATTACTGAAATACTTTATTGTCACTTGTACAACTTGTATACAGTGAGATTACACAAGCACCCCCCACTCAGCTAATAATAATAATAATAATAATAATAATAATATAATAAATATAAGAAGAAGAAGAAGAAGAAGAAGAAGAAGAAGAAGAAGAAGAATTTATTATTTATACCCCGCCCATTTATACCCCGCACTCTGGGCGGCTTCCAACGAATATTAAAATACAATAACCTATTAAACAATAAAAGCTTCCCTAAACAGGGCTGCCTTCAGATGTCTTCTAAAAGTCTGGTAGTTGTTGTTTTCTTTGACATCTGGTGGGAGGGCGTTCCACAGGGTGGGTGCCACTACCGAGAAGGCCCTCAGCCTGGTTTCCTGTAGCTTTGCTTCTTGCAGTGAGGGAACCGCCAGAAGGCCCTCGGAGCTGGGCCTCAGTGTCCGGGCAGAACGTTGGGGGTGGAGACGCTCCTTCAGGCATACTGGGCCGAGGCCGTTTAGGGCTTTAAAGGTCAGCACCAACACTTTGAATTGTGCTCAGAAACGTACTGGGAGCCAGTGTAGGTCTTTCAAGATCAGTGTTATATGGTCTCAGCGGCCGCTTCCAGTCACCAGTCTAGCTGCCGCATTCTGGATTAGTTGTAGTTTCCGGGTCACCTTCAAAGGTAGCCCCACACAGAGTGCATTGCAGTAGTCCAAGTGAGAGATAACCAGAGCATGCGCCAACTCATATCACCTCTTGGACTCCTCTTTTCTAGGCTAAACATACCCAACTCCCTCAACCATTACTCATAAGGCTTGGTTTCAGCACCCTTGATCATCTTGGTCGCCCTCCTCTGCACATGTTCCAGCTTGTCAATATCCTTCTTAAATTGTGGCGCCCAGAACTGGACACAGGAAACAGAGTGACAGTGGCTTTAGCCTTTGCACTAGCAAGTGATGATGAATGCTCAATAAATAGGTAGTCTTGAAACAATGCAGAGGAAGACTTTGGGGTCCCCAGAACTGGGAGGCCACTGGTTCATATTCTCTCTCTCTCTCTCTCTCTCTCTCTCTCTCTCTCTCTCTCTCTGGTGTTATGGTTGGCAACACACTGTTGTACAAAGAGGGCCTCTTCAACTTCCCTGGGGATGCGCTCGAAAACAAGCTTGGCCTGGCACCGAGAACTGCGACTGGACTGGTGTCCAGGCCTGAAGTCTGTAGAAGAGGGATGGATGGAAAACGGGATACCAGTTCCTTCGAGAGTAATCAGCTAAGTTTGAAAGCCAGCTATAGTAGAACCATTTTTCATTTGTTGACTGACAACAGAGCAAAATCTCTCCAAACAAAAGCCTTTCCATCTTTGGGATTACGGAATTATTTTAACTGGAAGGAGTGTGCATCACAAGATCACTTGCCCCAGAGATGGTCCAGAAAAAATGACCTTAATAAGAACTGTGGAGAAATTTCGGGGGGAGGGGGGGCAGTAATCTGTTTTTAGTCTACAGTTATTTTAACAGAAGTCTTAAATTATTGCTGCTAATTCTTACTGATGATTTTATTTATTTATCTTTCTCGTAAACTACTTTGGGTCTTTTTTAAAATCAAGTAGGATCCACCCATTATCACCAAGATTCCACCCTTGAGATTCAGGATATAAGGCTCAGGAGGAAGGTTGTAATTCCTGAGATCTTCTCGCTTTGCTTTTGTGTGTGTGTGTGAATTATTGAGCCCAAGCTGCTTCACAGTTCTTTCTCGTCCTTAATTTTATTGTTCCATACCGCCCCAGTCTCCCAGTGGGGACAGATCCCAGGCGTTTGAGGTGCTTACCCAGGTTCTGTTTCCTTGGAATGAACGTATGCAGAGACTGTGGTGTCTTTCGGATATATGGTTTTATTTACACACATATACAACCTGGGCGTAGGATGAAGGGGCTCGCAGCATTAACACGCCCCAACAGATCTCACTTCTCCATTAGGTTTCCAGAGATGCTCCCTAGTCATGGGTTTGTATCCAACAAAACGTGTCTCTTTCTCTCCCGCTTTGGGAGGAAGGACAGGATATAATTTGAAATGACAGATAAATTCATATACAGTGGTGCCCCGCAAGACGAATGCCTCGCAAGACGAAAAACTCGCTAGACGAAAGGGTTTTGCATTTTTTGAGTCGTTCCGCAAGACGAATTTCCCTATGGGCTTGCTTTGCAAGACGAAACGTCTTGCGAGTTTGTTTCCTTTTTCTTAAAGCCGCTAAGCCGTTAATAGCCGCTAAGCCGTTAATAGCCGCTAAGCCGCTAATAGCCACTAAGCCGTTAATAGCCGCTAAGCCGCTAATAGCCACTAAGCCGCTAAGCCGCTAATAGCCGTGCTTCGCAAGACGAAAAAACCGCAAGACGAAGAGACTCGCGGAATGGATTAATTTCGTCTTGCGAGGCACCACTGTAATAACAGGCTGGTGCTCAATGCACGAGAATAATCCATACCCAAAATTAAAATGGCACCAAAGCGAATGCTTCTCACCGGTATGTTCCTTAATGCTAAGGAACTTGGTTGTGGGCAATTTGTCTTATACACAAATGTTTGCAAAGCAATTTGGCCCAATGCAATGCATTTTTCTGTGTTGTTTTCACTAATACATGCATATATATGCACACTTATCCTAGCATCTGTGGTTATGTTATGTACTGAGTTGAATAGGATTCAAAAGGCAGCAGTCTGATCGGTCCTAGAACAATAGGGTCCAGAATGCAGCAGTCTGACTGGTCCACAGGAGCCACCCAATCCAGCTCCAGGTGGAAGTGAATCCGCAACCTGATTGGCCTACAGGTGAATCCCAGAATTAGCCAATCACGTGGTGCCCATTGTGTAAATAATGTATATAAAGCAGATATTCCGGGGGAACTTCCATTCCTCCTCACCACTATGAGCTGAATAAAGAACATGAAATCCACTCTCAAATCTGAGCATATTTCAATGAGCCAGAGAACTGCATTGCAAAATTCGGGAATGTGCAAATTTCAACCGACAGCTGTGTTTTTGTTTGTGTCTCTTTTCAGAAAGTGGGACTCAGGCAGGTTTGCCTTTAAATGCAAATCAAACGGACTCCCCCATCCTATTCAAGAAGTCTCAGAAGTAATCTCAAGGACTCCAAATCCTTTGTGGCTTGAGAGAGAATATCCCTTGATGGGAGAAAGGTTTGCAGGAGAGTTCTGACTCGTTTCCCTGGGACGTTATAAATAGACCACAGAGAAGGAGGAAGCCCTGAATCTAATCTGAATGCAGCTCAGCTGAACCCAGCAAGGTCACAGCTGGTACTGATCAGAGAAGGATTTGCTGAGTTATGGCATGGAGAGCAGAGGGGTGCTAAGAAAGAAATGCTCTTTTCTTCAGAGGCTCGCTGTCTGCTTTGCCTTCTAGGATGGGGCCAGGGTGCCACGCTCTTGCAACCAAGAGAACTGACTAGAGAAGTGGTGCAAGGCTAAGAGGTAAAAAGAACGAGCAGGCTGTTCATCTGAAGCAGAATCTGGGGTGAAAAAACAGTGAAAGGGGGAGATGGGAGAGGTTCAAGGCAGTTTGCATTCAGAGACGATCCTATCTGATCTGAACTTTCTGGAACAACCAAACCAGGGCCACCTTTTGGAGTTTGCACACTTCTGATGGAGCAAGGCATTTTTACAAGGCGCCTGGGCCAAATCGGGCATCATATCAGCCATCTAGAGAGAGGCTGTGGTCCCTGCATTCCTGTGGCGCCTTCACCCCATTCGCTCTGCCTCCTATTTCTTTCAAACGACAAAATGCTGTTTCTTCAGGTCAACTGTGATGGCCTGGGACTCGGAACCAGAGGAGTCTCAGTCCACACCGGATCCTTTGCTTTGGGCATCATCTGAACCAAGTCTGGGGCCTGATCCTGAAGAGATTCCCCTGCAACAAACACCAGCTGGGCCGAGTCAGGGGCCTGAGCCTGCCCTGGCTCCAGATGCGGGGATTACCTCGTCGCCTCCAGCTTGGCCATCACTCACAGCTGCTCCACTACCAGTTGGGTCAGGGGAGGCTGAGGCGGCCCCTGGGTCTAGTAACCCACCGACATCTCCCGAGCTGCAGAGACTAAGGTTGGAGAGAAGGAGAGACCTGAGTACTCGCAGGAGGAGTGCTCGCCTTAGGGCGAAACAGGGAGGTGAGTCGCCGGGGGATCAGGACCGGCCGCTACCCCGACAAAGATAAAAGGCTGTCGGACCCTGCCCCAGGTTGCGGGAGCAACATTGCTGTTTGCTAGAACCTGCCTGAGACCCTGTGCCTGACCTAGCCTGGTTTCCTGCCTTTGTGTCCTACCTTGGCCCTGTCGGACTGACTCCTCGCGTAATCCTTGGATTCGGGACCGGACCTGGACCGCGTTGCTCGGGTTACCCCCCGGGCCCAGAACATCAACCCACAGTGACAGGAGTCTGGGTGTGCCTTGCCTTCTCCGATGCCTCTTTCTTTCCAAACAAATTGGATAGGCAGGTATCAGGATCAGACTTTGGACAAAGAGCTCCCACCAAGAGTCAGGAAGCAAATATTACAAAAACCCTGACAGATCCCAAAGAAGTGGCCTACTTCTTTGGCTGGAACATAAGAAAAGCCTGCTGGATCAGGCCAATTGCCAATCTAGCATCCTGTTCTCACAGTGGCCAGCCAGACGCCTGTGGGGAATCTGCAAGCAGGATTTGAACCCAAGAGCAACTCCTGTGGTTTGCAGCAACTGGCATTCAGAAGCACTGCTGCCTCTGAGCATAGCCATCATAGCTAGTGGCCATTCCTCTATGCATTTGCCCAGTCCTGTTTTAAAGTTGGTGGCCGTCACAGCCTCTTGTGGCAGTGAGTTCCACAGTTAAACTTTGCACTTCCCAAAGTACTTGCATCCAACAGGGGAGGTCCATGGCAGTGCTGCTTGCTGGAGTAGCCTCCCACCCCTCAGTCCTGGTAAAAGTAAATAATAATAATAATAATAATAATAATAATAGTAAAAGATCCATCGCATCCTGGTCACTGTCTCTTCGAGCTCTTGCCGTCGGGACGGAGATACAGGACGATGAAGACAAGAACGAGCCGTCTTAAGAACAGCTTCTTCTCCAGAGCGATCTCGGCCCTGAATGGGAAGCCCGGACTTTGAAAGTCATCTAATCTCCATTGCTGTATTATACTGTATTGATTAATTAGTGTTTTTATGGAGTAGTCAATTAATTTCGTTGTCCCCGAAGGGGGGCAATGACAATAAAGATATTATTCTATTCTATTCTATTCTATTCTATTCTATTCTATTCTATTCTGACTTGCCCTTTGGCCTATCAATATAAAATGATAGAGAGCAGACAGGATGCAAATCAAACCACGGAGCGTTGCTAAGATCTGCGCAAAGCCCTGGAGAGAGCCGTCGGCTTGCTTATGTGTATGCAAAAAACCTCCCGTTTCTGAAACTTGAGCTCCCGTAGTGGGATAGGAAGACGAAGGAGAGGGAAAACGCATCAAACTTCTCTTTTTAAAAAAATAAAAAATGTCCGGCCAGCCAATATTGTTACTGGAGCCAGCATAATGATAAAAGAAAGAGTCTTGGAGGGGGGTGGAGAATGTTAAAATGAGAAGAGGAGGAGGAGGGGCAGGGTGAGAGGAAGTCGGGAGTTTGCAGGATTTCAGTGTGTGTTGAGGAACGGGCAGAGCCCTTCGGAGGCTTCACCCCGGCTGGGTCTCCGGAACCAGCACCCAAGGGAGTTCTGACCAGCAGCTTCTGCACCCTGAGAATACCAACTGGGTGCTGGATCGGTGCAAGGAGTGGTGGGTGGCCTGGGACTAGGCGAGACCCACCCCCTCCGTGCTCAGCCATGTGGACGGTTGCAAATCTCCACGTCGGGGCCTTGGGTCTCTTGGTGGTCGCGGCTTCCTGGGCAGTGGGCAGCCAGCGGAGGGCGGCTGAGGGGTCAATCCGCAGGAGGTCACACCGGGTTCAGAACGGGCGCTGCAGTTACACCTTCGTCTTGCCAGAGGCCGACCCCCAACCCTGCCAGCACCCCGGGGAGACCTTCAACGTCAACACGCTGCAGAGGGATTCGCCCGCCGGCCCTTTGCTGTGGAGCGATGACCAGTCCACCCAACGGGTCCAGCAGTTGGAGAGGGTCTTGGAAAACAATACCCAATGGCTGCTGAAGGTAAGGGGGAAGGAAGGGTCTTCGGGGGGGTGAGGGTGGAGGATGGAAGCCCCAAACGGGAAGAGATGCTGTGGATCAAGGCTGCCCTTGCCTGAGCCTAGACATCAGCCTTTGGCTCAACGGCCAAAGACGCTCTGCACGTGCTCAGGAGCTATTGCACACTCATCCTGCAGTTATAGGTCAGAAGCTTGTTTGGGATCAGCTAGGCCTGCTGTTTTGTTTAGTCGTTTAGTTGTGTCCGACTCTTCGTGACCCCCTGGACCAGAGCACGCCAGGCACTCCTGTCTTCCACTGCCTCCCGCAGTTTGGTCAAACTCATGCTGGTAGCTTTGAGAACACTGTCCCACCATCTTGCCCTCTGTCGTCCCCTTCTCCTTGTGCCCTCCATCTTTCCCAACATCAGGGTCTTTTCCAGGGAGTCTTCTCTTCTCATGAGGTGGCCAAAGTATTGGAGCCTCAGCTTCAGGATCTGTCCTTCCAGGGAGCACTCAGGGCTGGTTTCCTTCAGAATGAATAGGTTTGATCTTCTTGCAGTCCATGGGACTCTCCAGAGTCTCCTCCAGCACCATAATTCAAAAGCATCAATTATTCAGCGATCAGCCTTCTTTATGGTCCAGCTCTCACTTCCATACATCACTACTGGGAAAACCATAGCTTTAACTATACAGTGAGGCCTAGTATCGCATAAAAGGTTCTGGGGCAAAATGCAAGGAGCTCTGAGCCCTCTTGCCTATGCTCAGCACCCCTCTCAGCCTCAGTTTCCCGCTTGTGGAATGAATGAAGAGGTTGTTCTAACTTTTGAGGAGGCGTGCAATGAGTCACTTGTCTCACTGCCTGAGAAGGTGGCACGGTCTCCTTCTATGGAGGTTTTGAAGCAGAGGACGGATGCCCGTCTGTCAGAGATTCATTAGCTGCGACTCCTATATGGCGGGGGTGGGTCTAGATAACCTTTGGGGGTACCTTCCAACTCTGCAATTCTATGGTCCTGGGTCAGAAGCACCTCTAGGCACCCATGGAATTGCCTTTCTTACTTCCAGGTCATGGAAATACAGGTGGGCTTGTCAACCTATGGAGAAAGACGCACCCACTTCATTTTAACTCGCTGGAATTTCAGCTCATGAGTGCAGTTTTTCTTGCTCAGAAGGAACACCCGCAAAACAACAACAAACTTCTGTTTACGTGAAACGTATTCAATAAACACACGAGAGGTAACGGCTGTACATTTGAAAAAATAATATATACTATTCATTGTATTGAACTGTAGATTTCAACAGAAGTAGCTCATAAAGTTCAACGAAAAAAGTAGAAGATTAGAGGATGAACTGATCTGCTGGGTCTTCTGCCTTTTTCGTTGAACTTTATGAGCGACTTCTGTTGAAATCTACAATTCAATACAATGAATATTATTTTTTATAATGCAATTATTATATATCATATAATAATTATAATATTATATAATAATATAATATATTATTATATATTATTTTTTCAAATGTACAGCCGGTTACGTCTTGTGTGTTTACAGAAGGAACACCCAGCAGGCACAAACACCCAGGTGCGACAGGTGAGGGCTTGGTGGAGATATTACCCTGGTCAGCAGCAAAATGGCCATCATTTTGATGGGTGGAGGGCCTTAGAAGTATCATAGAAGCAGGGGGTTTTTTTCCGGCCAGAACTCACCAGTTCTGGCACCTCTCAGGTGGGCACCATTGCCGTTCTAAGAGAATCAGGGAGGCATTCCAGCCCCTTTTCCCTAGAAAAATAGCACTGCATAGAAGTATCATAGACTCCCAGAGTTGGAAAAGACCATGGGAATCATCTATTCCAACCCCCTGCAATGCAGGAACCTTTTCCCCAATATGGGGCTTGAACCCACAGCCCTGAGATTAAAAGTTTCATGCTCTACCGACTGAGCCAACTCAGTCTTGTATGTTACAAGGCAGCCCAACGCACCTCTGCAACCCATAGTTAAAGGGGAAGGGTCATAGCTCAGAGTTAGACCATCTGCCCTACCTAAAGGTAAAGGGACTCCTGACCATTAGGTCCAGTCGTGACCAACTCTGGGGTTGCGGCGCTCATCTCGCTTTATTGGCCAAGGGAGCCAGCGTACAGCTTCCAGGTCATGTGGCCAGCATGACTAAGCCACTTCTGGCGAACCAGAGCAGCGCACGGAAATGCCGTTTACCTTCCCGCCTGAGCGGTACCTATTTATCTACTTGCACCTTGACGTGCTTTCAAACTGCTAGGTGGGCAGGAGCAGGGACCGAGCAACGGGCGCTCACCCCGTCGCAGGGATTCAAACCGCCGACCTTCTGATCGGCAAGTCCTAGGCTCTGTGGTTAACCCACAGCACCACCGGTGTCCCATCTGCCCTACCTACAGAAGCTCCAACGTTCAATCCCCAAAGGACTTGGAGAGATCCTTATTCGAAGCCTTGAAGAGCTCTTGCCAGTCCGTGTAGGCAATACTGAACTCGGTGGACCAAGGGTCTGACTCTGTACAAGGCAGCTTCTAACACATACTGTACCTCCACATGCAATTTCCACAGGATCCAGGCCAGTCAGGGCCATGTCCGAACCAATGGATTCAAATTGCAAGAAAGGAGATTCCAACTAAACATGAGGAGAAATCTTCCGGCAGTGAGATCTGTCGGACTCCCTTGGAAAGTGACGGGCTCTCCTTCAGGTTTTTAAGCAGAGGTTGGGTGGCCATGTGTCATGGATGATTTAGTTGAGATTCCTATGGGATGTGAAACACAAGAGCAGTCAAGTACAACATTCCTAGAGTGAACATGTTACACATGGGAAGGAATGTTTGTCCAGCCAGCAGGTAAACTTCCTGTTTCCTTCTGGGCTGGGACAGACTTCCTCTGCATGTGACTAGAGGTGGGTGTGGCCTCACCTGTGCAGGTAACAACAAAAGCACAGGGCAGGGCAGCCATCTCTCTCTCCCTTTGACTACATGCATCAAAGAAGCAACATCTGCTTAGCCAAAGATGCTCTCTTGGCTTCCAGCCAAGAGAGGACAAAGGCCTGTCTTATGGGATAGTTTCTAGGTATATGTTACTTTTCTAAGCTAAGTCTGCCTTCTGGGATCCCATTGTGAACAGAATGATATGTGAGTAAACTCTTTTTATACTTTTAGAGAAGACTGTGTCGTGTCTTATCTTTTATGAGGGAATAAGGGGGAAATACCAGAACAGTTATTATAGAGGCTTTAGAGAGCCTGAGCAAACGCATCCGCTGCAAGTTTAAAAGGGGGAATGTTACTCTGCTAAATTGTGAACTTGTGTAAACAAGTTGGGAAGGCTATTCTCAGACAATATATCCTCTCCTGCATCCCTGAACATTCCCACAATTCCTGCATTGCAAGGGGTTGGACCAGATGGCTGGGGGGGGGGTTCCCTTCCAACTCTACAATTCTCAGGTTCTCTTTTTCTCTGAGGTAATTCAGTGTCAGGGACGAGGGGCCTGTTTTTCTCTCTTTCCCACAGCAGTGTCCCCAAATGCGGAAGTGCCTGGTGCGCCCATGAGAATGGAAATCTCATTCATATGGGGGGGGGGGAAATGCAGCCAGGGACACTGGTTTTCTTCTGCTGCTTCTCACTCCAGGCGTTAAGAATTAAGCATGCTCCCTATTTGCATGGCCACACCTCCTCATAGGCATAGCCCCGCCTTCGGTTCTGTTTCTTGGTCACACTGAAATATGACAGAGTTTGGAAACTGCGGTGTGTGGGGATTGAGAGAGAACGCTGTTGCTGTCATTTGGAGAGGACGGAAGAGATATAATTTGCTAGAGCCAAATAGTAAAGATCTGGAAATATTTGGAGTCTACGAGGAAGGAGGCTAGAGAACTAGTTTTTATCTGTAGTCTTGGATGGAATGAAGCCACTGAGCATGCGCAGAGTGCCTTCCTCTCCCGCTGAGCACTCACTCATAGCCTGCCTGAAGGAGACGATGTGTGTGAATATTGGACGTCGCATGATTCTTCCCCCCACCCCCGCGATGACCAGTCCCTCTCCACCACACCACCCCCCAGCCATCACTAATCCTACCTCTGGGAGTTGAGGAGGGTCAGGAGGATGTGGTTTCCCAGTGTCCTCTGGTTCATCTTGCTACCGGAACTTTGCTTCTGGGGCTCATCTAAACTCAGATCCCAGGGGGATTTTCAGAGGCTTGGAGGCAACAATTTATATGTGCTGATGTGCAAGGGCGGCGGATGGGGGGGGGTGGACTCTGCACAGACAATGTCAAGCAATGCCAAAGAACTGAAAACTTGAATACCAGTGATCTAATACAGAATCATAGAATCATAAAGGTAAAGGGATCCCTGACTATTAGGTCTAGCCGTGGACGACTCTGGGGTTGCGGTGCTCATCTCGCTTTATTGGCCGAGGGAGCCGGCGTACAGCTTCCAGGTCATGTGGCCAGCAGGACTAAGCTGCTTCTGGCGAACCAGAGCAGCGCACGGAAACGCCGTTTACCTTCCCACTGGAGCGGTACCTATTTATCTACTTGCACTTGACGTGCTTTCGAACTGCTAGGTTGGCAGGAGCAGGGACCGAGCAACGGGAGCTCACCCCGTCACGGGGATTTGAACCGCCGACCTTCTGATCGGCAAGTCCTAGGTTCTGTGGTTTAACCCACAGTGCCACCCACGTCCCTCATTAATTATATTTGCATACCACCCTTCATCCGTAGATCTCAGGGCAGTTCACAACATAAAAGAATAATAGAAATGTAGTTGGTAGGAACCCCAAAAGTTATCTACAGTGGCACCTCTGATTGCGAACGAGATCCGTTCTGGAGGCCCGTTTGCAACATGAAAAGAGCGCAACCCACAGCGGCGCGTCTGCTCATGCATGGGTTGCGATTCTGCACATGCGCGTGATGTCATTTTGCGTTTCTGCGCATATGTGAGTGGCGAAACCCCAAAGTAACCCTTTCCGGTACTTCTGGGTCGCCACAGGACGTATTCTGAAAGAACGTAACATGAAGCAAACGTAACGTGAGGTACGACTGTAGTCCAACCCCCTGCAATGTAGGAATCACAGAGTAAATGTGTGTGTGTGTGTGTGTGTGTGTGTGTGTGTGTATGTGTGTCTTAAGGCAGTGGTTCTCAAAGGGTGTGCGATGCGCCACACTGTGTGGCAGGAAGATTCAAGGACCATGAAAGAAACAGCTAAACATTTCAGTGCAGTATGGCATAGTATCAATATATTTCTTTTATTTGCAAAAGTGAGCTCATTCCTCTTACTGTGTTTTTACACACAGTTTAGGTATTTAGGATTATATTTTGGGAGCGATGCATTTTTTCTTATGTAGCTGCATCGTTTTATACTTTCTGCATGTCCCGTGATCGTATTATAAAGTACTCATGTTCTGTGTCATGAATGCTAGGAGTTGTTTATTTTTGTTTCCCAACACATTTCTTATCAATAAATTTTTTCGGTGTGGCACGAGCAAATTTTTATCTTGAAAGTGTTGCCTAGAGAAAAAAGTGTGAGAACCATGGAGTGTGAAGGCAATTTTTGACAAAAAATGTGTTAGATGCCTGTCTGTCAGCCTGGCCCTTTGCAGTCATTGGCCAGAAGAGCATTGGGAGGTGGGGATAAGTTGATTTCTCACCCAGCAATTGGCCTGCACATTATTTTTCTCATGAGAGTGGAAGTAAAGAATTGGAGACACAACCTTGACATAGATAGATAGATAGATAGATAGATAGATAGATAGATAGATAAAGATAGATATGAAGTTGTTACGGAAATTAGGGGGGGGGGCACATCTTTAAAGTTGTTAAATGTTACGAATATTATGCCTGAATGTATCCTTTCAACTTGACAGCTCAGGGAAGTTGTTGTTTAGTCGTGTCCAGCTCTCACTTCCATACATCACTACTGGGAAAACCATAGCTTTAACTATACAGACCTTTGTCGACAAGGTGATGTCTCTGCTTTTTAAGATGCTGTCTAGGTTTGTCATTGCTTTTCTCCCAAGAAGCAGGCGTCTTTTAATTTCGTGGCTGCTGTCACCATCTGCAGTGATCATGGAGCACAAGAAAGTAAAATCTCTCACTGCCTCCATTTCATCCCCTTCTATTTGCCAGGAGGTGATGGGACCAGTGGCCATGATCTTCGTTTTTTTGATGTTGAGCTTCAGACTATATTTTGTGCTCTCCTCTTTCACCCTCATTAAAAGGTTCAGGGAAGTTACCTTGCTTTAAAAATAATACAGAATCAACTCCTTTGCCAGTTTCCTCCATTCCAACACTATTTTGCGCTTGGATAAGGGACTCCAGGAAGTGCCCAGAGGTGACAATTGCTGAGCTGATAGTTGGCCAAGGAAAGCCTAATCTCATCACCGGACTTGCCAAGGGGTCCAGACATGCAAAGGAAGTTCTATTGTACTTTGGGTGGTGGGATCTTTGTTTAGCCTATGCTAATCTTATCCCTGGGTCTTGCCCTGACATGTCTGCTTATGCTAATCTTGTACCAAGGACTTGTCTGGACATGTTTGCCCAGGTTGAACTAGTGTAACTCCTGTCTACCCATCTCCTTTTGTGACATGTCAGTGATGTATCAATGATGCTGAAATATACTCGGAGTCGAGAGTGGATTTCATGCTCTTTATTCAGCTCATAGTGGTGAGGAGGAATGGAAGTTCTCCCAGAATGTCTGCTTTATAGACATTATTTACACAATGGGCCCCACCTGATTGGCTAATTCCGGGATTCACCTGTAGGCCAATCAGGTTGCGAATTCACTTCCACCTGGAGCTGCTTTGGGTGGCTCCTGTGGACCAATCAGACTGCTGCATTCTGGACCCTATTGTTCTAGGACCAATCAGACTGCTGCCTTTGGGATCCTATTCAACTCAGTACATAACAGATGCTGTATGAACTGTATTCTGGGATATGGTGGGAAAGTTTTAAAAGTCCTTGTCACCCCATCCTCGGGGTTCAAAATTCCTCTTTGAACCTGTTGCGCAATAAATTTTGGTCTACAGCTATTTGGTGGCTGGACTCCTTTCTTTATTCTGCAGGGACCCGTGGGCTCTGCCCGACGAACTGGGTGACTGAGCAGCCTTGCACCTAGATTTCCCCCCGTAACAAAGTAGAGGGAGGTAAGCTGATTGATTCAGAGAAGGAGCTAGGAATATCTATCGGGGGGCCCAGCTCTTCTCTCCCTCCTCCCTACTATTTTCTTGGCAGCCGACTCCCTCCAAAATAGGAGACAGCCATGGCGAGGAGAAAAGTCGTCTTCCCTCTAGAGGACCGGCTGGACCTCTCGTCTGTCATCTAAGCTACAGCTGCTTGCGTCAGACCTGCAAATAACTCCATCCCTGATTGGGTTGGGACCAGAGAGCGTCCCATAGCATCCGGTGGACAACTGGAAGGAACTGAGTTCCCCGGCAAAGGGGGAGGAATCTCTGGGCCTTCTCGTGAGAAATGGAATGGGGGGTTGCAGGGGGAGTGATGCTTGCGAGCCCCCGCTCTTTGGTCTGCTTTCCACCACGGTCACTTTGAAATGGAGATTCTGAGCAGGATGTGTTGCGCTGCTTAAATGGCCAGGGGTACAGTCCAGGCACAGGGATTTGCATAAAATTTGCTGGTTTGCATGCAAAGATGCAAATATAGGCTGACTTTCAGAGGGGAACCAACTCTGCCTCTTTATGCCAGGGGTTAATCAGAGCCCTGGGGAAATGATTATTGTTTTTTTAAAGTAAATTTTATGTAGTATTTTCCACACAACAACACGAAAAGTATCAAAAAATAACAATACACAAAACACAAAAGCCCGCATACGAAAAAACCAAATCCATATCTTACAAGTTAATAATATAAACACTGAAAAGAAAAACAAACATTGACTTCCACCGATCCCACAGCACCTCCTTTACCTCTCATTGTATCTTCCTGTTTTCTTGTTTTCCTTATCATCTCTATCCGAGCATTCCTGGGGAAATTAAATCAAATGGACGTTGATGAAATTATGTGTGGCGTGGAGAAAATTGATAAAGTTTTCTGCAATTATTTATATTAATTTCCCAAATTATTAGAAATCCAACCAAATTACTTTAATGTAATACAATTTCTTAAAATCAGGTTTCCCGCTCCTGTTGCAACATATGTTTGATACAGAAAAGTTTTCCTCCCTCCCTCTCTCCCTCATAACACTAGTATTCATCCATTAAGACAAATGTTGGAAGATTCTGAACATGTAAAAGGAAGCACTTACTTACGCTGCCCAGTGTGCTGGGCCCGGGGGTAACCTGAGCAACACGGGCCAGGGCCAGTCCCAAATCCAAGGGTTCCACGATGAGTCAGTCCGACAGAGCCAAGGCAAGACACAAGGCAGGAAACCAGGCAAGAACAACTACAGGATCTCAGGCAGGATCTAGCAAACAGCAATGTTGCTCCCACAACCTGGGGCAGGGTCCGACAGCCTTTTATCTTTGTTGGGGTAGCGGCCGGTCCTGATCCTCCGGCGACTCACCTCCCTGCCTTGCCCGAAGGCAAGCACTCCTCCTGCAAGTACTCAGGTCTCTCCTTCTCTCCGACCTCAGTCTCTGCAGCTCAGGAGACATCGGTGGGTTACTAGACCCAGAGGCAGCCTCAGCCTCTCCTGACCCAACTGGTAGTGGAGCAGCTGTAAGTGATGGCCCAGCTGAAGGCAACAAGGTCATCCCCGCATCTGGAGCCAGGGCAGGCTCAGGCCCCTGACTCAGCCCAGCTGGTACTTGTTGCAGGGGAACCTGTGCAGACTGGGACTCTTCAGAATCAGGCCCCAGACTTGGTTCAGGTGATGCCTGAGGCAAAGGATCCGGTGCGGACTGAGACTCCTCCGGCTCCGAGTCTGAGCCCCAGTCCCAGGCCATCACACCCAGAGTTAAACTATGGAACTCCCTCCACAGGAGGCAGTGAGGGCCACCAACCTAGATGGCTTTAAAAGAGGATTAGACAGATTCCTGGAGGAGGAGGAGGCTATCGATGACTACTAGTTGGAGGCAGCAATGTTTCTGAATACCAGTTGCTGGAAAACACAGATGGGGAGAGGGGTCTTGTGTTCAAATCCTGCTTGCTGGTTTCTCATGAGGGCATCTCACTGGCCACTGTGGAAATAGGAGGCTGGGCCAGATGGGCCATGGGCCCGATCCACCAGCCGGGCTCTTTTTACAATGTTCTGACATTGCATGTTTTGGCCATAAGACGGCACCTCTGAAACCAGCCAGTTTGGATCTCATCTTAAAAATAATTTAACTCATTTCACCTACACACACACACACATACACACACACACACACACACAGACACCTCTAAAAAAAGCTGCCAAATTAATTAGGCTCACCTTTGTGATTGATTTTTCCTTTTTTTTAAAAAAAGCAGGTTATACAAAGGGCTGCCTCTGAAGATGGTTCAGAAATTTCAGCTAGTGCAGAATTCAGCAGCCAGGTTGCTCACTGGAGCAAGATGGTTTGAGCACATTGCACTGATCCTGGTCCCTGCACTGGCTACCAATTAGTTTCTGGGCCCAATTCAAAGTGTTGGGTTTGACCTATAAAGTCTTAAACGTCTCAGGACCACAATACCTCAAGGACCACCTCTTCCCATATGAACCTACCCGGACCCTGAGATCATCTTCTGAGGCCCTCCTTCGTGTGCTTCCTCCTTGAGAGGTGCAGAGGGTGGCAGCATGAGAGTGGGGCCTTCTCTGCAGTGGCTCCCCGTCTGCGGAATGCTCTCCTCAGGGAAATTTGTCTGGCGCCTTCATTATATACTTTTAGGTGCCAGGCAAAAGCGTTCCTTTTTGACCAGGCCTTTGGTTGATCTTTTTGACATCCAGCACCCTTTTAGAATGTGGTTCTTTTTTTGGGGGGGGGGGGTTAATTGGGTTATTGTTTTTGGTTTGATTTTATATGTTGCGGTCTTGTTTGTGAACTGCCCTGAGACCTCTGGGTATAGGGCAGCATATAAATTGAATTAATAATAATAATAATAATAATAAATCTCACTGATAAAATAAAGCTGTGTGAGTTTAACAAGTACAGTCATACCTCGGGTTACAGACGTTTCAGGTTGCGTTTTTTTGGGTTACGGACCCGCCGAAACCCAGAAGTACAGTGATACCTCGGGTTAAGTACTTAATTCGTTCCGGAGGTCCGTTCTTAAGCTGAAACTGTTCTTAACCTGAAGCACCACTTTAGCTAATGGGGCCTCCCGCTGCTGCCGTGCGATTTCTGTTCTCATCCTGAAGCAAAGTTCTTAACCCGAGGTATTATTTCTGGGTTAGCGGAGTCTGTAACCTGAAGCGTATGTAACCTGAAGCGTATGTAACCCGAGGTACCACTGTACCGGAATGGGTTACTTCCGGGTTTCGGGGGTCGTGCATGCTCAGAAGTGCTAAATTGCGCTTTGTGCATCTGCAGAAGTGCCAAATCGCAACCCGCATGTGCACAGACGTGCCACTGCAGGTTGCAAATGTGCCTCCTGCACGGATTACGTTCACAACCAGAGCATCCACTGTACACAAGACTGCCCCTACCAATTTGGCTTGGGACTTGATGTTGCTGTTAGTAAGTTGGGCGGCAAGACAGAGAAATTAAATGCATCCATGCCCTGAGCATCAGAATCATTTTAGCTCTGATCTGGCTCTGAGCAGTCCCTCAGTGGAAAATAGTAGCCCTTCTTAGAAGCTCTGTAGCCACTTTAAGCTGAGGACTCTTTCCACGTTCCTCTGGAAGAGGATCTTCTTGATATTGGACGTCCGGCTGCTCTCCTCTGTGTACACAGCTGCACCGGAGGCAGCTACTGGGAAAGTCTGGCTGACCCAGCAACGCTTTGCAGGACGAAATGTACACAGAGCGCAGGGGTAGAATAGCAAGGAACTACTGCCTGAGGTTCCAGCAACAACCACGACTCCTTTCTTCCTCAAGAGCCGAATCCCACTGCTGAGACTCTTCGCTAGAGGACATGCAAAGATTTAAGCGCACTGTGCATGGTCAGATCCGAGTCAGGATTGTGTGTATTTCACAAATCCTTGCGTTAGATTCGCAATCACGGAATCGTGTCTGGCACAGAGCCAGGCAGCGTGAGAATCATAGCTGTCAACTTTTCCCTTTTCTTGCGGGGAATCCTATTCGGAATAAGGGAATTTCCCTTAAAAAAGGGAAAACGTTGACAGCTATGGCGAGAATGCCAGATTCACTGAAATGAAATTTGTAATATTTTCACAGCGCTGCAAATTTCAGCAAATGCAAAGGTGAGGGTGGCTGCTGTTATTTGTTATTTTATTTATTCCACAAAGTTCCTCCATGGCTTGAAAGGCTTTTAAAAGAAAACAACTTAAAGAGGTTTACAAAACAGACAAGACAATAAGAAAAATTATGAACACAAAGTTCAAACTTTGGGAAACTTAAAATAACAGTAGACTGGAAACAGATTAAAACTCGCATCAACTTTCTAAATAGCTTGGTGGGCTTGTCTAAACACTGGAAGGAATTCAGGGAAGGTGCCTGCCTGGAATCAATAGACAGGGAGTTCCAAAGGACAACACTAAAATATCAAGAAATTTATACATTTGTTGTAGTGACTGTTACTATTTTTATTACAGCAAGATCAGTGAACCGACTCCCTCGGAAGGTGGCAGAATCTCCTTCATTACAGGTTTTTAAATAGAAATTCAAAGGCCATTTGTCATAGATGCTTTAGTTGACGCGGGCGGCGCTGTGGTCTCAACCACTGAGCCTCTTGAGCTTGCTGATTGGAAGGTCGGCAGTTCGAATCCCTGCGACGGGGTGAGTTCCCATTGCTCTGTCCCAGCTCCTGCCAACCTAGCAGTTCAAAAGCACGTCAAGGTGCAAGTAGATAAATAGGTACCGCTCAGGCAGGAAGGTAAATGGCATTTCCGTGAGCTGCTCTGGTTCGCCAGAAGTGGCTTAGTCATGCTGGCCACATGACCCGGAAGCTGTATGCCAGCTCCCTCGGCCAATAAAGCGAGCTGAACGCCGCAACCCCAGAGTCGGTCATGACTGGACCTAATGGTCAGGAGTCCCTTTACCTTTACCATCTATAAGTCCTGAAAACATGGGCATACCACACCCCCAGTGATTTGACCAGGTAGAGCCATTTTCACCCCTAAAGACTCCAGGATTTGGAGGTTAATCAGTGTGCAGATTTGGTGTTGGTGGGCTGCTTGGGACCTCTAACGGAGAATCCTGCAAACCACACTAAACTTCAACTCCCAGGGTTCTTTGTGGGAAGGCATGGCACTTAAAGAGGCGCATCAGAGCCATTATGGTGTAGTGGTTAAGAGCGGTGGACTCGTAATCTGATGAACCGGGTTCGCGTCTCCGCTCCTCCACATGCAGCTGCTGGGTGACCTTGGGCTAGTCACACTTTTTTGAAGTCTCTCAGCCTCACTCGCCTCACAGAGTGTTTGTTGTGGAGGAGGAAGGGAAAGGAGATCGTTAGCCACTTTGAGACTCCTTCGGGTAGTGATAAAGTGGGATATCAAATCCAAACTCTTCTTCATCAAGCTGAGAACAAATCTGTAGTGTGCCGAAAGTCTCTGGCTATGGCTAGGTTTGCATCGCTGTCCATTTAAAATGAGAAGCGATGCACGCTGAACTCTGAGGCTCTGGGCTTCTTGATTGTGGCTTTGCAGGGAACCTGAAGGATTTCTCAGAGAAGGGGGGGGGCATCTGCTCTCCCCCCCCCGACCGCCTCTCCAAAAGACCCGTGTCCCCATGACCCCCATGCCACAAGGCTCCTCTTCCAAAGCAGGCCTGTTTTTCATAAATCCAGCTGGAAGCACTTAATGGGACCTGTTTTCTTTGGATTCAGGTCCTGAAAAAACAACTCTGTTGCAGGCATGGGGGGGGGGGCAAGTGGAGGGGAGGAGGGGGTTGTGAACGAATTGGAAAATGTAAGAAAAATATTGGCCAGACAGTTAAAGGGAAAGTTCTGCCTGCCTTCAGGCCATGATCCCTGCCTGTGGAGGCCAGGGAAATTGACAGTGTTGTTGTTAATAATAATAATAAATAATAATAATAAATTTTATTTATCCCCCGCCCTCCTCGGCCAGAGCCGGGCTCAGGGCAGCTAACATGAATAAAATTTCAGTAAAAACGTAATAAAAAACAAAACAAAACAAAATTTAAAATGCAGGTCAAAATGCAATTTAAAATGTTGTTGTTGTTGTTGTTAGGGCATATACAGAGTGCTCTCCCCGCCCCCCCCAGGATGGAAGAATCTGTCATTTGTGATTTCTGCTGGTTTCTCATTTTTCCAATCTCAAATTCAGTTCAATTTCTTTTAATCCTCAGGTCAATCCAGCAGCATTTTAGTGAGAATTTCTTCAAATAACTAACAGGCACATTTTGACTGATTGGCATGATTCCCCCAAGCGATTCCTCCAAATATAATGTGATCTCCAATCATTTATAGTCGTTTGTATGCACACTTCCCCCTAATATATGCGTTTCTGTACACATTGGCTGCTTGGAGAACTGCATTGCCAAATTCCAATAGGAATTACAATTTCGGAGGATAGTTGCACCTCCATTCATGTACAGTCATACCTCGGGTTAAATGTGCTTCAGGCTGAGCGCTTTCAGGTTGTGCTCCAGGTTACTTCTGGGTTTCGCTGCTTGTGCATGCGCAGACGGTCAAAATGATGTCACGCGCATGCGCAGAAGCAGCTAATCGCGACCCGCACATGCGCAGACGCAGGTTGCGTTTGCTTCTGGATGTGAACGGGGCTCCGGAACGGATCCCATTCATATCCAGAGGTACCACTGTACTGGTTCGAGGGCGCGAATTAGGCAACTTTATAATTGAAATTCAAACAACACTGAATTTCCTCCCATCCCTAACACACACACACACACACACACACACACACACACACACACACACAGAGCGAGTGTGTACACCATGAATATTGATGCCATAAGAAGCAAGTGGCTTGGCTGAGGACACATTCTGGATCATGTCTGCTTGTTGGAGTCTGGCAGCCTTAAACTATCTGTTTGTCCCTGCCACTGCCACACTAACTTCTTAATTTGAAGATAAACAGGCAGCAAATTAAGACCCTATAGGACTCCCCCAGCCTTATCCACCAAAGATAGCCAACTTTGCAGTGGTGTGGAGAATTCCTTCCTTCAGTGGAAGAGGGGAAGAGAAAGAAAAGTATCTGGAGCAGAGAATCCTCCATCTCTCCTTTTTCTCCACCCTCCCTGAATTTCTCTCCCTCCTTCCCATAAACTGCTGCTACGCTGCACATTTCGAGCAAATCTTTGGAAGCTTCCCAGGGACAACGAAAGCACAGATCGGTCCTGCCGTTCCCAAAATAACGAAGCATGTGCCCACGCCCCCGTCCCGTTCCCTCGCTGGCACTTTTGATGGTTTTGAGTTTGTTATTCTGGCTTTGTCAGAAATCAGGGCGACAGGGCCCGGGCTTCGAGTTCCTTTCTGAACTCGATGTTTTGCATTGTGGGAGAGATTCAGTTTAGTTGAAAGGAAAACATGGGGCAGCGGGGAGAAAGCGAAAAATGAGGAGGGGGAGCAGGGGATCTTGTGCGCTTGGCAATAGGCAACCACGATTAATGAAAGGCTGCAGAGAAAGTGAATTAGCAAGCTGTCCTTATGCTCCGCCCAAATTCACTGGAGTGGTTTTTAAGAGATAGCTACAGTTTCTGCAGAGCTACTGAAACATACTTGGAGTCCTGTAGTGATTTCATGCTCTTTGTTGCAGCTTGTAAAACAGCGATTGAATTGCCCCCCAAATCTCAGGCTTTTATATGCAGTCATACCTCTTGTTACGTTTGCTTCAGGTTGAGTGCTTTCAGGTTGCGTCCCGCAGCGACCCGGAAGTAGAGGAAAGGGTTACTTCTGGGTTTTGCGGCTCGTGTATGCGCAGACGCGCAAAATGACGTCACGCACGTGCGCAGAAGCGGCAAATCGTGACCCGTGAACGTGCAGACGTGGGTTGCGTTCTGCTCATGTTGCGAACGGGCCTCCGGAACAGATCCCGTTCGCAACCAGAGGTACCACTGTACATGATTTACACAATGAGTCCCATCTGATTGGCTGATTCTGCTTTCCTCCTGGGGCCTGACTGGTCTTTTCCTGCAGGCCAATCAGTTGTTGCATTCTAGGATCCTACTTGCCTATTGTTCTAGGATCCAAGCTTAGTACAGTGGTACTTTGGGTTAAGAACTTAATTCGTTCTGGAGGTCCGTTCTTAACCTGAAACTGTTCTTAACCTGAAGCACCACTTTAGCTAATGGGGCCTCCTGCTGCTGCCGGAGCACAATTTCTGTTCTCATCCTGAAGCAAAGTTCTTAACCCGAGGTACCACTATTTCTGGGTTAGCGGAGTCTGTAACCTGAAGCGTCTGTAACCCAAAACCCAGGTACCACTGTACATAACAGCTACTATCAGTATCAATGGAAGGAGGAACAGGCTGGGAGATGGGAAGCAATTTGGCTCAAATCCAGGGCAAATAACTATATTGTACCACTCAGAACTGCTTTTCTGCATGTTCCTAATGCTCTGGGTCAGGAACCTTTGAGACTTTATAGTTTGGAGAAAAGGCGCGTAAAGGGCGAGATGATAGAAGCTGATAAAATTATGTGCAGCATGGAGAAAAGGGAGAGAAAAAAAGCTCTTTCTCAATAGTAGAGCTCGTGGATGTGCAATTAAGCTGAATGTGGGGAGATTGAAGACAGATGAAATAAAGCAGCACATAATCATACTGTGGAACTCCCTGCCACTAGTGGCAGGAGCTCTGTCTCTGAAAAGGTAGGGATGGTTATGGGGTTGCGGTTCCAGGGTCATTCTGACTATATGCAATTTTTGCCTTTACGTACAATTCCCCCCAGAATGTAACTCCCATGTAAAACACACACGTGGTTCATAATTCCCCCCATTTTTTAAATCTTCTGCTACAACAACAGAAAACAATCTGTTGCCTTCCCCCTTTTTAGACCCCTGGGTCTTTTTATAATATACACTTCTTGTTGTTGTTGTTGTTGTTGTTGTTTAGTCATTTAGTCGTGTCCGCCTCTTCGTGACCCCCTGGACCAGAGCACGCCAGGCCCTCCTGTCTTCCACTGCCTCCCGCAGTTTGGTCAAACACATGCTGGTAGCTTCGAGAACACTGTCCAACCATCTCTTCCTCTGTCATCCCCTTCTCCTTGTGCCCTCCATCTTTCCCAACATCAGGGTCTTTTCCAGGGAGTCTTCTCTTCTCATGAGGTGGCCAAAGTCTTGGAACCTCAGCTTCAGGATCTGTCCTTCCAGTGAGCACTCAGGGCTGATTTCCTTCAGAATGGAGAGGTTGGATCTTCTTGCAGTCCATGGGACTCTCAAGAGTCTCCTCCAGCACCAGAATTAATCAATTCTTTGGCGATCAGCCTTCTTTATGGTCCAGCTCTCACTTCCATACATCACTGCTATGAAGGCCATAGCTTTAACTCCTTCATGGATCACTGCCTTGCCGTGGGGCTTGAATAACTCAGAGGAACTATGAGCTATGCCATGCAAGGTCACCCAAGATGGACAGGTCATAGTGGAGAGTTTTGACCAAACGTGATCCACCTGGAGCAGGAACCGGCAAGCCACTCCAGTATCCCTGCCAAGAAAACTCCATGGGCAAAGACAACAGGCATATAATACACACACACACACAAAGTTCAGATTTTCATTTATGGATGCTTCCTCTTTCCCCATTTCCTGTGTTAATCCTGGGGATCTTTGAAAAAGCCTTGGATTTCTCAATGAAACTTCCTCCTGCCCCCAGGGAAAACATCATATCCCACTGGGTTCAGCAGGAGCAAAGTTTCCGTGTGAGCTGGTCATTTGCTCTCAGAAAACCTCCTCAGTCTTGAGATTTCAGATTCTGAAGGCCCTGAAAAGACTTAGAAACATCGTCGTTCGGTTTAGATTGGCTGAACTGGAAGACTCAGGACAGACGAAATACGTCTTCACGGAGAGCAATCTTCAACTATGGAACTCCTTGCCACAAGAGGCAGGGATGGCCACCAATGTGGATGAGACAAATTCATGGAGACGATGACTAACCATTGATGGCTACTAGCCACAGTGGCTCTGCTCTGCCGCCACAGTCAGAGGCAGCAATGAATGCAAGTTGCTGGAAACCACACAGGATGGGAGATGGCTGCTCTTGTGTTCAAATTCTGCTTGCATGTTTCCCACAGGCCTCTGGCTGGCCACTGTGAGAGCAGGCTCTTCTTATGTTTTTATGAGCGGATGACACGATGGAAATCACGGTGTCCTTCTTTGGAGGTCTTTAAGCAGAGGCTTGACAACCATATGTCAGGAGTGCTCTGATGGTGTTTCCTGCTTGGCAGGGGGTTGGACTCGATGGCCCTTGTGGTCTCTTCCAACTCTATGATTCTATGATTCTTACATCCCTAAGTACAGGGATGTGAGGACAGCATCACAGCAACACCCAACTATCAAATTAATACAATTTCTGCAGGCTTCTACAGCTTAAGCCCCTTTATGGGCTGTTTCTTTGCATTCATCAGGACAGTCTGTTGAGTTGCACTGGAATGAAACTTGACTTGAGCAGACTAATCCAGTTAGCAAGTTTGTCAAGAAAAAGAACTCAGAGTTCCTTCTGGGGTATGTATTAAAAGGACAAAAAACAAACAAAACACTCACTTCTGACCCTCTATTTCTGTCTTTCCTCATGTTGGCCTCACTTATTTGGGTCACTTTCCTGTAAAGCAATCCAAGCTGTCATTACACATTTTATCCCTCTTATTATCTACAGTTGGCTTAATTGCACACCATGTTCCCCGTTCTAAAACACGGCGCAAGGCTCTCACTTCTGAATCATTGTGCTCTGCATGCGACAACGGCGTGTAGATCCAGACACGGCTTTCTTTTCGGTGTACATCTGATGGCAATCTGCTTGCAAGAGCAAATCAGCTATTTGTTGGAAGTCAAGGATCATACATCTTCAGGGTTAATCATCTTGATGTGAAAGCCAACTAGCTGAGAGGGAGCTGTGTGGAGGTGTTGGTTAGCCACCAAACAAAGTGGCATGATCCTCTCTGAAGAAGCACATCTTCTGATTGGCTGTGTAGTTCCAAGGGAATTTTCCTCTGTATGTTTGGTTGAATATCTCCTTGCTATGTACAAGGCCTTAGCTAAGAAAGACAAAGCCTCTCTCTTCCTTTCTCTTCAGATCAGGCACTTGTTCATCATAAAGTGTTAGCAAGTTTCTTTATCTCTGGACTCTGTTTGTGGCATTTAAGTGACTTTGCTCACACTAATCTCACAATGGGAGTAGAAAAAACATGAATATCTGTAGCATTGCTGCTTGGAGGCAGGGAGCGTAGGATACCATGCCAGGGTTTTCTCTGACTGGCAGTAGCCCTCTGTGGTCTCTCAACTAGAACACCAGTGAGGGATTGAACATGTGTCATCTGGTATGCATTCTGTCATCGAGAGCTCACCCACACTTTTGCACAATCCATATCTTGTTTGTATTGTGTAAATTTCATGGGGACCAAGAACTTTTTTCATTGTTCAGAGGATGTGCATTGCAAATATCCAATGTTATCAGCTGAATTGAAGCTCGCCTAAGCAGAATCTCTCATTGAATCTTCCACACATCTTGTTAGATCTGATTCAGTGGGTAAGAACAGATTTTTGCAAGCCACAGCTGCGGGACACTAAGAAAAGCTCTTGGACCTGCGTGAATGATGTGGCACATGATGTGATCAAAGTGTATGAGTCAGGCAAAAGCATGGACGGCTCCTGAGCTTTATTCCCTCCCAGGGATGGAAAAATCTGTCAGTTTTGGTGTTTGAAAATAAAACCACTCATAAAATAATGTCCTTACTCAAATCTATGGTGAGAACATGCATGGATTATGGTTTAAAGTTATGGCCACCTCACCAATATAAAAGGATAACATCGAGCTGGAGAAGTTCTGGAGAAGTTCTTTCATGTGATGGAGGTAACACACCTGTAAGTGTATAGTTTGGGGGGCGGGGAAGTAAGAGGGGATTTGAGAGAGATGTATAAGATATGGCTACCAGATTTTTTTTCAATGAATCCGGGGACACTTTTTTAAAAAAATACATGCTTTATTATCCCTAATTACATCTATACATCAGCTGTTTTGCTGTCTCGAGAAGTCCGGACGGGGAGAGAAACCTGGGGCGTGCAGTTGGAAGCAGAGTTTGAGAACACGACTGTGGGATGTTCACGCAATCACAGATTTGGAAAGGACCTCTGAGGGACATCTAGGCCAACCTTCTACAGTGGAGGTACCTCAACTCAAGCAGCCTCAGCTTAAAAGAGCATAAGGAGTCCCTGCTCCAATTTGACTTCTGCAGTTCCCGGCCGTCGGGGACACGCTCTTGTTCACGCTCTCTCTCACGCTCAGCTGCTCAGCTCTGCATCAGCCGCTGCTCCAGTTGGCCAAGGGGATCGAAGTCATCTCACCCCTCTGCGCCTTGACCAGCAGAGAAACCACAGCTCCTGCGCCCCTCCTGGACAACTGCACGCCGCCTGTCCATGACTCCTGAGCCTCCCCCAATCTCCCTTCCAACGCTTCTATGGGGAGAGGTGCTGCTGTGCCCGGGTCCTGCTTGCAGGCCTCCGACCAGGTCAGCTGGGTGGCCAGTGTGAGGACAGGATGCTGGGCGAGATGGGCTATGGGCCTCATCCTGCCAGGATCTTCGGGGCTATGCTAGATGGACCAACGGCCTCACTTGGTGTGATGGCCTGGGACTCGGAAGCAGAGGAGACTCAGTCTGCACTGGATCCTTTGCCTTGGGCATCATCTGAACCAAGTCTGGGGCCTGATCCTGAAGAGTCCCAGTCTGCACAGGTTCCCCTGCAACAAGCACCAGCTGGGCCGAGTCAGGGGCCTGAGCTTGCCCTGGCTCCAGATGCAGGGATGACCTCGTTGCCTCCAGCTTGGCCATCACTTACAGTTGCTCCTCTACCAGTTGGGTCAGGAGAGGCTGAGGCAGCTTCTGGGTCTAGTAACCCACCGACGTCTCCTGAGCTGCAGAGACTGAGGTCTGAGAGAAGGAGAGTCCTGAGTACTCACAGGAGGAGTGCTCACCTGCGGGCGAGACAGGGAGGTGAGTTGCCGGGGGATCAGGACCGGCCATTACCCCGACAGAGATAAAAGGCTGTCGGGCCCTGCCCCAGGTTACGGGAGCAACATTGCGGTATGCTAGACCATGACTGAGATCCTGTACCTGTCCTTGCCTAGTTTCCTGCCTCGTGTCCTGCCTTGGCCCTGTCGGACTGACTCCTTGCGTAATCCTTGGATTCGGGACCAGACCTGGACCATGTTGCACGTGTTACCCTGAGGGCCAGCACACTTGGCATAAAGTTAACTTCCTGTAACAGACTTCCTTACCCAACCAGGAGACAACCACACATCTGGTTTGCCAATGTGAGGACAGAAGGCTGAACTAGATGGACCACTGGCCTGGTCCTTCTTATGCTCTTACACCAAGCAAACGTTCTGGAAAATATTTGTGACAAACAAGAAGCAGTTCACACTCAGTCCTGATTAATTCAAGGCAGCTGCCTCTACTTGCTCCATTTTTTGCTCCATTTAACCAACATTAGACATGCCCCTTTCCACAAGAAAATGAGAAGCCAAGTTGCAGTTGGTGGGCATGTTGTTTTGGGTAATGTGTTCCTCCCAGCTTCGACCCGTGACCACCCCTCCCCCAGCCTCTGCTTGTGTTTCCTGTACTCAAATTTGTTCATTTTCATAAACAAAACTTTTGCCCGGCAAAATTGGAGGATTAACGATGTGACACTAAGGCAAAGTCTCCAGAAGCCGTGGGGCTTCTTGCAGAAATGTTCTCTCCAGACACTACCCTCTGCTCAACAAACGGCTCCTAATGTGCCACACAGATGATGTAGGTGACACCACACATTTGAAGGATTGAAATATTTCTCTCCATCATTCCAAACACCTTTTGAGGAGTCCACCCCCAAGCTATTGCTAAGCCCTCAGATTTCAACAATCTGCAGCAGAACATCTGTGCACATCATCGCTAAAGGGAAGTGGCTGCAAGGGAGTTTATTGTCGCGTTAAGAGGCAACATCTGAGGCTGAATCCAGATGTCTGTTTCCTGCAATCCAGCAGCAGCCAATTAAATCACCATGGTGAATGATAGAGAATGGAAATATATTGGCACTGCTGGAATCTTGGCGTGACTGCCCCTTGTGGTGGGAGGCTGAATTGCAGGAGTTCACCTTTTTAGAGAAAATGAGCTCGCTCTGCCCATTCAGGTTGACCAATGGTGCTTTCTAGACAGGGAGGAGCTTCCTTCTCCAGCTGAACCTTGCTTTGGTACAAAGTTTTTCCTTTATTCTTCTTTCTCCACTGGGTCTGCTTTACCTTTGGTCCTGCCTTATCCATTCTATCCACTGATCTGTCCCCTGGTTCATTGGCTCCTGCAAGGGCTACCCATAACTCAGACTGACTGTCCTCTTCTCTCTTGGGATATTCCAGGTCATCCAGGGAAGGGCATATATTCAGGAAAGACAGCTATTATGGACCTATGGTACTCCCTGCCTCAGGCTCTTCTTATGGGGAATTAACCATCAGAAGAATCGTGTCTAACAAAGTTGCTGTGTCCAGAAGTGTGTTGCAGAAGGAGGGGAAGAGGGTAAACTTGGTGCTGGGGTTTATTATGGGGCTTGGTTCGACCTGCCCCTCATGGATCGGACCTAGTCCTTTGAAAGCCATCTGCATATGTCTTGGCATTGTCAGGAACATGGCTCATCTGAGTGCAGGAGAAGATTCAGACTCGGAAATTGAGCTAAGTGAGAGAGAGACCGACTCTGCAGATGAAAACTGGCTGACACAGCCAAGAAGGGGTAATTTGCCCCCCCCCTTCCAGAAGATGACACTGTTAGCTCTCAAGGAGCGGGAGAGTTAGGAGGCAGCCAGAGCATTGCTAGGCAACCAGCAGATAAGCAGAGGACTGAGAGTGTGTCAAGTGGAAGTAGGGAGGGGGAAGGCCAGCTTCTCAGTCCCCGTTTTAGGAGACTGGATAAGGTCAGAGGGCAACAGAAGGGCAGGAGGGGAAGGGCGGGAATTTGGCATCCTTCCTGCTGTGAAAGGGGCAGAGACTGACCAACTCTCGCCAATGCGAGCAGGCGAGAAGCCGTTCTCTGGATGTGTTGTTTTAAATAAATGCACATAAAACTGCCGGAGAGTCATTACTTCTTATCGGGGCTTGCCTGCCTGCCTGAGATCATTACAGGCATCTTGTGATGCAGGAAAACTGGTCCTTCACACCCAGAGACTCCTAGTTCAAGGCCTGGTCCCTCCACAGTAGGAATCTCTTTCTGCTACGTTCTTGCTTCAGGGGCCTCAACAGCATGTATTCTGAAGTCCCCATTTCCCTGTCTCCCACAAGTCCTTCCAAAAACAGGGGGCACCTGGGATGTATCAAATTAACCAAACATTTGATTCACAACAACCTCTCCTAAAAATAGGCCAGTTTTGGGAAACTCATCTCCCTGGTGGCTTGAGAAAGAGGAAGGGACATCTGACTTTCATCTGCGTCCTAAGCTTGAGGCGTATTTCCGTTTTTCTCAGTGACAACTCGCGGATGCCCCTCTTTGCCGCTGCATCTTCTTTGCCTTCAGGCAGATCAGACCCAGATGCTTAGCAGGACTTCGCTGGTCAGCTTTTAGATGTCACGATTCAAGGCAAACCTCGCCTAATCCACACTTTCTGAAACAATATGGGAACTGAAACGCAGCCCTTCTTCAAAATTTGCCCTCAGGCATCCTGTTCTCTCAGTGGCCAATGAGATGCCTTAAGGAAATGCCGCAAGCAGGATCCGGGCACAAGAGCTCTCTCGCTTCTTGTGGTTTCCAGCAACTGGTATTCAGAAGCGTTTAGTTATCGTGCGTGGGAGCTATCGACAAACTTTTCCTCCCTGAATTTGTCTAATCCTCTTTTAAACCCATCACTGCCTCCTGTGGCAGGGAGTTCCATAGTTTACCTCAGTGTTTTTTTTCTAAAAAACAAATGTTTGGGGTATTCTCATTTTGACTCAAGAATATCACCATTTTATAGTTCAAATCAGGAAAAAGCAAATGGACAAAAGTACAAATTTTCACAAAATGTTTAGGGGGTATGTGTACCCCTGCGTACCCCTAGCAAAAAGCACTGATGACAGGAATTGGACCTTGTGGCGTTTGCCCTCCTAGGTGTGCGACATCATACTGGGTTCATAAGGAAAGTGTTTTGTTGTTGTTGTTTAGTCGTGTCTGCCTCTTCGTGACCCCATGGACCAGAGCACGCCAGGCCCTCCTGTCTTCCACTGCCTCCCGCAGTTTGGTCAAACACATGCTGGTAGCTTCGAGAACACTGTCCCACCATCACGTCCTCTGTCGTCCCCTTCTGCTTGTGCCCTCTATCTTTCCCAACACCAGGGTCTTTTCCAGGGAGTCTTCTCTTCTCATGAGGTGGCCAAAGTACTGGAGCCTCAGTTTCAGGATCTGTCCTTCCAGTGAGCATTCAGGGCTGATTTCCTTCAGAATGGAGAGGTTTGATCTTCTTGCAGTCCATGGGACTCTCAAGTGTCTCCTCCAGCACCAGAATTCAAAAGCATCCATTCTTCGGCGATCAGCCTTCTTTATGGTCCAGCTCTCACTTCCATACATCACTACTGGGAAAACCATAGCTTTAACTATACGGACCTTTGTTGGCAAGGTGATGACTAATTGTTAAATGACTAACCAATGGGAACCCAAGGGGCAGAGTTAACTGTGTATAAGGTTTAAGCACAGAGGTTTTTGGGGGGAGTTAGAGTTAGGGTGGTTGAGAAGACAGTCTGGAGTTCGAAGAGACAGAGAAGATAAGTCTGTGGGTTGGGCTAGTCTGGTGTGAGAGAGTGAGAGAATTTTCTAGGAGGAGTCAGTCAAACAGTTGAGATAATCAGTCAGAAGGTATTAGGAAGGTATAGGCTGGTAAAGAAACTAAAGTTAAGATACTGACAGGGATATTATCCGAGAAACCATAAACTTGTTAATGTTTGTAAAATAAACTTGTTTTTTGGTTCACTTATAACAACTGTCTGGACTCAGTGTTTTACCTGAGAGTAACGGGTTGGTGGCAGTGGGGAAGCGAGCACAGTGGTGGCACAGGGATCAATAGACCATTAAACATCCGGGGACCCTGTGTGATCGCCACAGACCTGTATAGAAATACAGTGTTTAGCCAACTGCCTGTTGTCTTTATCCATGGAGTTTTCTTGGCAGGGATACTGGAGTGGCTTGCCAGTTCCTCCTCCTGGTGGATCACGTTTGGTCAAAACACTCCACTATGACCTGTTCATCTTGGGTGCCCTGCTCGGCATAGTTCATAGCTTCTCTGAGTTATTCAAGCCCCTTCGCCACAGCAAGGCAGTGATCCATGAAGTGAGAGCTGGACCATAAAGAAAGCTGATCGCCGAAGAATTGATGCTTTTGAATTATGGTGCTGGAGGAGACTCTTGAGAGTCCCATGGACTGCAAGAAGATCAAACCTCTCCATTCTGAAGGAAATCAGCCCTGAGTGCTCACTGGAAGGACAGATCGTGAAGCTGAGGCTCCAATACTTTGGCCACCTCATGAGAAGAGAAGACTCCCTGGAAAAGGCCTTGATGTTGGGAAAGATGGTGGGCACAAGGAGAAGGGGACGACAGAGGATGAGATGGTTGGACAGTGTTCTCGAAGCTACCAGCATGAGTTTGACCAAACTGCGAGAGGCAGTGGAAGAGAGTAGTGCCTGGCGTGCTCTGGTCCAGGGGGTCACGAAGAGTCGGACACAACTAAACGACTAAACAACAACAGCCCAACTGCACCATCAGAGCTGTTATTTGTGCTGCATACTTTATCCTGGAATTGATGTGGCTGGGATTCCATATTCCTCGGCTCCAGGCCAGCAACTGGGAGCAGTCCATCAAGCGGGTGATTTGCTCAGTTAGCAAGCCTTTTAAACAATGCAGTTGAAACTATAGCGGATTGATCACAGCAATTATCTGATTAAGCCTGGCTCTCCCCTGAAGCTCTATCAGCAAAAGGCTTGGAATAGGAAGTGCTTTAGAGGAAATGACATGTTTATTCTTACCCTGCCCCAAGCCATGCGGAATAGTGTTGGCGGATCCCAAGGGAGAGATGCACACAGACCTTTCCCAGCTGCCGGCCAATTGGAGAAGGGGGAAGAGGAGAAGCAGGAGAGGGAGCGGGGGCCGGGGGCTGGGGGCCGGTGCTTTTTTTCATCCAATATATCAGAGCCTTTAGGGCAAAGATTGCGTGTGTCGCACAACAAATGCACAGTTGCTATAGGGAATCCCGTGTGGAGTGCTCCTGTTCAGGGTGCTGGCCAGCCATGCCCGTTTCCCAAATACTCCATTCCATTCCCTAAAGTAAAGGTAAAGGGACCCTTGACCATTAGGTCCAGTCACGGACGACTCTGGGGTTGCAGCGCTCATCTCGCTTTATTGGCCGAGGGAGCCGGCGTACAGGTCATGTGGCCAGCATGACTAAGCCGCTTCTGGTGAACCAGAGCAGCGCACGGAAACACCATTTACCTTCCCGCCGGAGCGGTACCTATTTATCTACTTGCACTTTGACGTGCTTTCGAACTGCTAGGTTGGCAGGAGCAGGGACCGAGCAACGGGAGCTCACCCCGTTGCGGGGATTCAAACTGTCGGCCTTCTGATCAGCAAGCCCTAGGCTCAGTGGTTTAACCCACAGCGCCACCCGCGTCCCTTTTTTGGGCTACATTAATAATAATAATAATAATAATAATAATAATAATAATAATAAATTTATACCCTGCCTATCTGGCTGGGTTTCCCCAGCCACTGTGGTTGGCTTTCAACAGGATATTAAAAACACAGTAAAAGATCAAACATTAAAAATTTCCCTAAACAGGGCTGCCTTCAAATGTCTTCTAAACGTCAGATGGTTGTTTATTTCCTTGACATTTGATGGGAGAGCATTCCACAGGGCAGGCACCACCACCAAGAAGGCCCTCTGCCTGGTTCCCTGTAACCTCACTTCTCGCAAGGAGGGAACCACCAGAAGGCCCTCAGAGCTGGACCTCAGTGTCTGGGCTGAACGATGGGGGTGGAGACGCTCCTTCAGGTATACTGGGCCGAGGCCGTAACTGATGATTCACACTCAGACGACAAGTTCACTGTTAGTATCTCAGATCTCCTTTTTAGAGAGGAGAATTCGGGGAGAGCAAATACTTTTCCTTCCTGCAGATTCTCCGCCAATTCATCTTTGAAAAGAGCCCCTATTTCCTCAGAGAAGCTATCCAGCTCCAGCATTGAAACCTGTATGTTGGCTGGAAGCAGGATTTTTGCAAGAGAAAATGGGAGTCTAGAAATCGAGAGGGATTTCAGGGACACCATAAACATCCAGCGTTTTTCTTAGCCAACATTTCTCATAGAGATTAATTTTTCCAAAAGCAGATTCCACCCCCAGTCTCTCATGGAGGCAGCGTTCCAGGTTTGCTGACAACATGTCGTGACCTCTAGATAGCTCAGGATTTTGCCTGACCACAAAAAGCATCCCTGAGCATCATCTTGGTCAAATTGCTCTGGGTTATATTTCTCAAGAACTGCTCCAGATTTGGCACCATTGTGGAGCCAAGAGAACCCAAGGTGCCTCTCTAGAGACAAACGCCGCAATTATTTCATCCGAATGAGTTTCTCGATTATTTCTTCCAAAGGAGGAAATGAGGAGGGGGGAGAAAAGAGGACTTTTTGTCGAATGGGCTGGAAGAAAGCAAGACAGAGGGGGAGGAAAGGTCTTGAGGAGTTTCTTCCCTTAACATTTTGACTGCTTCACCTTTAGCTGGAGAGCTACATCCAGATGAATATGAAGTCGGAAATGGTGCAGATCCAGCAGAACGTGGTGCAGAACCAGACGGCCACGATGCTGGAGATTGGAACGAATCTCTTGAACCAAACAGCGGAGCAGACCAGGAAACTGACCGACGTGGAGGCTCAGGTGGGTTGGTGGAAGAGGGTTGAAGAAGGGAAGAAATACGGAAAAATTGTTATGTCAGTCTAGATGATACCCTGGTGTCCCTTCCAAATCCGCAATCCTGTAGTTGTGAGGATAGAGTGCATTATTCGTTTATAAAATATATTTATAGGCGGGTGGCGCTGTGGGTTAAACCACAGAGCCTAGGACTTGCCGATCAGAAGGTCGGCGGTTCAAATCCCCGTGACGGGGTGAGCTCCCATTGCGCGGTCCCTGCTCCTGCCAACCTAGCAGTTCGAAAGCATGTCAAAGTGCAAGTAGATAAATAGGTACCGCTCCAGCGGGAAGGTAAACGGCGTTTCCGTGCACTGCTCTGGTTCGCCAGAAGCGGCTTAGTCATGCTGGCCACATGACCCGGAAGCTGTACACCGGCTCCCTCGGCCAATAAAGCGAGATGAGCGCCGCAACCCCAGAGTCGGCCACGACTGGACCTAATGGTCAGGGGTCCCTTTACCCTTTACCTTTATACTTCATTCCAGCTTCAGGTTTTCTTCTGTGCCTTGCGCAGGTACTCAACCAGACCTCCCGCATTGAGATCCAGCTACTGGAGAACTCTCTGTCCACCAATAAGCTGGAGAAGCAGCTGCTGATGCAGACGAACGAGATCCACAAGCTGCAGAACCGAAACAGGTAGGTGTAGGAACACCTGGATTCCTGCAGAGCTGCCTCTTTCCAAGGCAGAGAATATATTCAGGGGCTCAGGGCTGCTGCTGGAGGTGAGTCTCTTTATGTCAGGGGTCAGCAAACATTTTCAGCAGGGGGCCGGTCCACTGTCCCTCAGACCTTGTGGGGGGCCGGACTATATTTTGGTTTTTTGGGGGGATGAACAAATTCCTATGCCCCACAAATAACCCAGAGATTCATTTTAAACAAAAGGACACATTCTACTCATGTAAAAACACCAGGCAGGCCCCACAAATAATCCAGAGGTGCATTTTAAATAAAAGGACACATTCTACTCATGTAAAAACACACTGATTCTTTGACCATCCACAGGCCGCATTTAGAAGGCAACTGGGCCAGATCCGGCCCCCGGGCCTTAGTTTGCCTACCCATGCCTTATGTGCATCAATGACCTATTTACAGTTGACCAGGCTACAGCCTAGAGCAAAACACCTTCCTCGCTTTCTGTTTAAAGTTCTCTTGCTCTCGTTGCTTTCAAAGCTATTTCCTTTGGCCACATTGTTATCTGGTTACGTTGTCATTCCTACATTGCAGGGGGGGTTGGACTAGATGACCCTCGGGGTCCCATACAATTCTATGATTGTATGTTTATTTGTAGTCCTGCTTCTGAGTTGTCATTAGTCACAAGATAGCCAAGTGTTGGTAATAGCTACTGGTTTTCTTATAAATTAGTTACCCTACAACTGTGGTAGGTTGATGGTTTGTGCATGCTTTCTAAGTAGCTATATATAAATACTTCCAGCTATATATTTATTTCACCTTTACATGTTTGTTAGTAAGAATGCATAAAAATATTTCCATGCAATATTCTTTGCTGTGTGGTCTTTTAAACTACAATATTCTCTCTCTCTCTGTGTGTGTTTGTGCATCTATGTCACACACCTGTGCCTATAAGTGAGTTTATCTGGGAACCTATAGCTGTAAACTGGGTGTTGAAAAAATGTGCAATTTATTGTTACTGTTACGATTATTATCTTCCTTTGTGTGTTGGACCACTATTTTGAATAATACTTTTTATGGGCTAAGGTAGAGAGAGCACTGGGGATGAGTTTATGGAACCAAGTGAGCGACGCCCAAAAAAGTTTTGGAATCACTGTATTTACAGGACCGCCTCTCCTGGTCTGCCCCGCAGAGGACCTTAAGGTCCATGAATAATCATAGTTTAGAGGTCCCGGGCCCTAAGGAAATCAGACTATCCTCCACCAGGGCCAGGGCCTTCTCAGTGATGGCTCTGACCTGGTAGAATGCTCTGTCCCATGACACCAGGGCCCTGCAGGATTTCACTTCCTTCCGCAGTGCCTGTAAGACAGAGCTATTCCGCCTGGCTTTCAATTTGAACTTAGTCTGATCTTTTATTCCCCTTCCTTCCCTCCCCCTCCCCTTTTTATGAAGATTCCCTGCTCTGGGATCCCACAGCTAATTCTCCCCTGGCCTCCTCACTGGCCCAAATAGGACTAACTTAGCCAGCTAGCCCTGGTGATCATCTAATGTTTATTGGATGGATTTCCCCTCTAAATTGATTTTTGAATTCTGAATTTATCGTTATTCACATTTTATACTGCATTTTATGCTGTTTTCTGTTGCATCAATTGTTTTAAATTTGTTGTTAGCTGCCCTGCGCCCAGTTTTCTGAACCAGGAAGGGTGGGGTATAAATAAAAAATTATTTAAATTAAAGCAAATCATTCTCTCTTTCATTAGTTGCTACAAACACATTCTCTCGGGTAAAAGGAATCTCCAGTTTGCTAATCATAGAAGCCAAGAACCCAGTAGGGCTTGGTTGATTCCCTGTCCAGAAATGTACTCAGGAGACTTTGAAATAAATCTATCCTCAACTGCAATTGGCTCTCTTCCTTATCTCAGTCTTGCTCTCCTGGACTGCAGATCTCAGCTTCCAAAGGACTGAGTTTCTCTTCCCAGCCATCACCATCCATGGATCTGCTGATATGTGAGGACCTCTTGGTTTCTCTGTAATTCCAGCAGCGTTGTCCAAAGGAGCACCTCGTTCCATTAGGTCACTAATGGATTTGTTGGCTGAGGACCAATATGTGGATTTTGCTGCCTGGTTCCCAGAAGATAAGGAGCAAAGGATAAAGCGAATTCCATTGACTGGGGATGGAGGGTGTGCAAGTTCTCAAAGTTGTGCAAGATGCAGAGCTGTATCCAGCATTCATCCTGAAGAAATAATGGGCATGACTAAGGTCAGTCCATTAATTTCAGTGGGTCTGCACTGTCGCCAGTGGCGCTGTGGGTTAAACCACAGAGCCTAGGACTTGCCGATCAGAAGGTCGGCGGTTTGAATCCCCACGTCGGGGTGAGCTCCCGTTGCTCAGTCCCAGCTCCTTCCAACCTAGCAGTTCAAAAGCACATCAAAGTGCAAGTAAATAAATAGGTATCGCTCTGGCGGGAAGGTAAACGGTGTTTCTGTGCGCTGCTCTGGTTCTCCAGAAGCGGCTTAGTCATGCTGGCCACATGACCCGGAAGCTGTACGCCGGCTCCCTTGGCCTATAGAGCGAGATGAGCGCCGCAATCCCAGAGTCGGCAACAACTGAACCTAATGGTCAGGGGTCCCTTTACCTTTTACCCTGAGTAGTCTAGTTAAGTAGAAGCCATAGTCTAAGGTTACCAGACGTCCCCGTTTCCCAGGGACAGTCCCCGGATTTAGAAATCAGTCCCCTATCATTCCTAGTGTCCCTGGATTCATTGAAAAAAATCTGGTAACCTTACCATAGTCTGCCTGCCAGCCCAAAACTGAAGTCCCTCCTGCCTGTGTGGTCCCAACATTTAGTTGATGCATCAGATACATCCATGAGCTTCATCCAGGTGGTCCATGACATGTCTCTGTATTCGTGGTTGAAGATGGGAAACAGGACATCCATCGCTTTAAATATTCCTCTTGCTTTTTTAATTCTACTTTTTAATCGCTTCTTCCGTTGTATTTTACTGCATTACGATATGAATTTCTATGGAATTACAATTGCTACAGCAGGCGGAAAAATCACTAAGTGATCCATCTGAGACCACCAGAAATTTTCAAGAGGTTATGGGCAAAAAAGGGGGGGTTGGTGGGGAGCTGCTGAGCTAGATGAATCAGTTTAAAACGTTTTGGTCCCTTGCGGGAGAGAAAAATGAAAACCTTCTATGAAATACCGTATTTTTCGCCCTATAGGACGCACTTTTTCCCCTCCAAAAATGAAGGGGAAATGTGTGTGCGTCTTATGGGGCGAATGCAGGCTTTCGCTGAAGCCTGGAGAGCGAGAGGCGTCGGTGCGCACCGACCCCTCTCGCTCTCCAGGCTTCAGGAAGCTATCCGCAAGCCTCCCGCGCCCGGCGGGAGGTCCCACCGGGCGCACGAGGCTTGCGGGCAGCAGCCTGCAGCCCGAAGCACGGGGCGCGCTGCGGAGCACGCCCCGTGCTTCGGGCAGATGTCCGCAAGCCTTGCACGCCCGGCAGGAGGTCCCGCCGGGCTCGCAAGGCTTGCAGGCAGCAGCCTGTTCTGGGGGCTGGGGTCGGGGGAAGCTCGGGCTTCCCCCGAGCCAGCCCCGTGCCTGGGGGGGCAATAATTTTTTTTCTTTATTTCCCCCCCCCCAAAATCTAGGTGCGTCCTATGGGGCGGTGCGTCCTATGGGGCGAAAAATACGGTAAGTAAATAAACAATTGGGCACCACCTTCAGATCCTTGGAGGATGAAGATTCGCTCACAGGTAGCAGCACCCTACCACTCAACTCTCATAAGACCAGTATAAAAGAGCATTTAGAAATCAAAATTATTTATTTTATTTTTTTCAAAAAAGTTTATTCATTTTATAACACAAATAAAGAACACAAACAATACAATACAAACAAATTCTTATCTTATCCGTATTTTCCTAAACATTGTTAAGTGGGCTTCCCCAAGTCCCACCTATCTGATTTTCATTTTACTTCATCTTTAGCAGTTTACATATATCATAGTTTCTAACCATCTTTCCCCCCCCACACACACTTAAAATAACTTCACAATTTAGCACTTTCAAATAATACTATTTTAAAATACACTACCTTCTACTTCTAACCCTACAGCCGATATCCACTTCCAAAGCTATTCAAAGATTTAAATATTAACATTTTTTTTTTCAAATATTCCTTAAACTAGAAATCAAAATTAAAAGCTATAGGGAGTGACTTTGGAGTGACTTTGGTTTCCAAGCTTCAGTTCCCCTCCATTCTTGCGAAGGATCCAAACTGTGCTGAGATCAGAGTTTGTTGCATTCCGGCCAGCTGGCTTCACAAAGTTTGGGGGGATGATTTCTCTTGCAACCGCAGCACTTTTGGGATTGTTCCCAAGATGCGTTTGCTGTGCCAAACTGTTATGAAAAGCCAATTTATGGCCATCCCGCCTGGCCAAAGAAAGGTGATGGGGGCAGCGGGGAGAGAAGCCAATATGGCGCGGAAGCGTCACGAGAGAAGTTGTCTTTTTTTTCTTTTTAAAAAATGAAATCCCTGATGGCTGCAAAAATAAACTGATGAAGTGCCTGGTGATGACAGCAGCAGCAGCGGCAGTGACAGAGTCGTAGAAGTTGCTTGTTCCGGCCTTTGTTACTCCAGAACACATGCACGCACTCTCTCCTTCGGGGACGGTCTCTAAAAATGGCAAGCATGAGAACATACAAAGAGCCCTGCTAGATGCTGGATCAAGCCAAAGGCCCATCTAGTCCAGCATTCTGTTCTCACAGGGGCTATTGAGATGCTCGTAGGAAATCTGCAAGCAGGACTTGAGCAGAAGAGCCCTCTTTCCTCCTGCAGTTTCCAGCAACTGAGATTCAGAAGCATTTATTTCTCCAACTATGGAGGCATGGCAAGTAGCCAACAATTGCCCTCTCATCCATGGATTTGCCTATGGATTCCCCATGGATTTTTCACAGTTGGAGGAAGCAACGCTTCTGAATCTCAGTTGCTGGAAATGGCAGGAGGAGTTAGTGGCCGGGACGCAGGTGGCACTGATGGGTGGTCTTTTGTCAGGATGGCCATCTGTTAGCCGTGATTCCTGCATTGCAGGGGATTAGACTAGATGACCCTTGGCGCCCTTCCAACTCCACGTGCCCAATCAGCATTTAACTGTCTGCATGTTGATTGTGTCTTCTTCTTTGGTCATTCCTCGTAGCTGAGTAAGATTGTCTTCCATGAACACAGTCTAAACAGTGAGTCCGTAAGTGACTGTGGAGGCCAATTCTGGATCCACATGTCCTTCCACAGTGGGGACATTGGTTTCTGGGCGGGAGTTGATCATGGTGAAGATTTGCCAAGCGTGCCTTCCTCTTAGCATGTTTCTCCCTTGCGTTCTGAGTTTGAGCATCTTCAAAGTCCATGTCACCTTTGGTAAAGGCTGTTCTCCAACTGGAGTGCTCACAGGCCAGTGTTTCCCAGTTGTCGTTGTTTATACAGTGGCACCTCGGGTTAAGGGACGGGGGTGGCACTGTGGGTTAAACCACAGAGCCTAGGACTTGCCAATCAGAAGATCAGCGGTTTGAATCCCCGCGACGGGGTGAGCTCCCGTTGCTCGGTCCCTGCTCCTGCCAACCTAACAGTTCGGAAGCATGTCAAAGTGCAAGTAGATAAATAAGTACCACTCCAGCGGGAAGGTAAACAGCGTTTCCATGCGCTGCTCTGGTTTGCCAGAAGCAGCTTAGTCACACTGGCCACATGACCCGGAAGCTCCCTCGGCCAAGAAAGCAAGATGAGCGCCGCAACCCCAGAGTCGGCCACGACTGGACCTAATGGTCAGGGGTCCCTTTACCTTTATATACTGTCCCAAAATGCCTTTTTTTCCCCCAACAGCCACCACATGTGGTAAAAATCTCCATCCTTATCTAAACATTTCCAGCATTTTTTACTTCTAATCCTGTACATTTTTGCCAGCTTGGTTGGGGTGAGGAAACCCAACTAAATTTCCAACTATCTTTACACCTAAAACAGGACCCACATCCTGGTGAATCCCATAGATGAACTCTGTGGATGTGACTGTGCGGCCCTCAAGGCAGGTGCCCGCTTTTTAAGCTGACCGCCTTCTGAAAAGTGTCTCTTGCCAGCTCTTTGCAAATCCACCAGCCATCCGCCCTGCAGTTCTGTTGCCCTCATTCCCTCTCCTTCCTCCCTTGGCAGTATTTTGGAGACCCGAGTCCTGCAGATGGAGACAAAGCACCTGATGGAACTGGAAGGGATCCGGACGGAGAAGGAGGAGCTGCAGCAGCTGGTGATCCGCCAGAGCGACACCATCGAGGTCTTGGAGAAGTCTCTCCACGCCGCCAGCGGCAACACCAGCCTGCTCCAACAACAGCAGCTGCAGCTGTTGGAGTCAGTTCAGAATTTGGTCCAGCTGGTCTCCCAAGGCAAAGGTGAGCTCGGAGCCACCGAAATAAATCACGCTTTATCTCAAATGAGGCAGCTTCCAAGCCTCTGCTGCTTCAGAGCTCCAGATGATGTGCATACTAGCCAGAGGTCCACCGCAGACGGAGATAGCTCAACAGTTCGCAGTCTTCCTACGCCTTTTTCTGAACTCTCCTGGCTGCCTACACAGGTCCTACTTGCCGGCAGCCTCTCTCCCTGTCCCTCCTTCCTAGTCTCCCCTTCCAAAATGAACTTTCCTTTCCTTAGCAGAGTCGCACCTTTTTGCCAATGTTCCATCATCAGGACTTTCCCCTCTGGACTGCTTGATTTGTGAACATTCCTTTACATCAGAGCAGCTGAGCCAATGGGAAGAGGGAGTGGGAGGAAGCCTCCAGCGATGCTCTGTGTCATTTGAAAGTTCAGGTGTGCAGGAGAATAGCGCACAAGGCCAATTTGGCGCAACTTACAGCAAAGAGTGGACGCGTTCCATTGTGAGGGATGCTTTTGAAAAACTTAAAATTCTACGTTGCTTTCTAAATATTAAAGCAATATTTTGTTGGAAGCTGCCCAGAGTGGCTGGGGAAGCCCAGCCAGATGGGCAGGGTATAAATTTATTATTATTATTAGTGTAGCAACTTTTCAAACTCAGTGCTTTTACACCATGTCTTCCCATCCCCACCTGCAATAAACTCAGGTCAGATCCACAACATACATTTGAAGCACATCCAATGCACCTGGCTTTCCCCCAAAGGATCCTGGGAACTATAGTTCCCCTGCACAGTGCAACAATTCACTTAATAAGCTATGGTTCACAGAACTCCTTGGGGGAGGTTGTGCACTTTAAATGTGCATTGGGTGTTTGTTAAATGCATGGTGTGGATCTGCCCAAAATATTACTGGAAGGATGAGGATCTTCCAGGTGCTGTTGAACTACAACTCCCGTCATCCCTAACCATTGGTCATGCTGGCTGCATCTGGAGAGTCACAGTTTCCCCACTCTGGTCTTTAGCTTGGATTGATGAAGAAAGAACAAGGCAGGAATTAGTAAATATAATCGCAGTTTTCCCCAAGCAAATTTTAAATAGGAATTTTATTCACATTTCAAATAGGGAAATTTGCTTGAGACTGGGAGCTCACTGTCGCTGTATCCATGCCCCAAAATGCTTATTTAATTTGGAGAGGCCAACTCTTTAGCATTTTACTTTCTCTTGCTAGTTCCTCCAAAGAAAGAAGACCGGCTGTTCCAGGACTGCGCAGAAATCCGCCAATCTGGAGTTAATCTCAGTGGGGTTTACACCCTCCATATCAACAATCTGACTGAACCCAAGAAGGTCAGTGAAACCCCAAGAGCCTATGAACTGAGGCAGGGAGAAGGATCATTGCTCAATTTGTACAGCTAAACAAAGCACCTTGGTTCTCCTACCGTCGGTGCTTCTAAAGGAATCTGACCCTGTTAAGTTGTGGATGAACATATCAGACAACACATCGATTCTTCAAACAGCTCTTGTTTATTCACAGGCCAGAACTGAACTGAAGGGTTCAGCCACCCTTCTTATATAGAGCTCCACTACAACGCAACAGTAACCACTCTCTGTAACTATCCAATCACTGAACGTCATTTTCAATCCCTTATTTGCATATGTGGACCTGAGTGAAAACTATCCACAGTATCCCCCTGCTGGCCCAGGGTGAGAACTTCAGTACATAACAGACCCTCTCTAAGGCTGTCTGGAAAACGTCCTGGTCTAGAAACGGGTTCTGCAAAGGCCCAGTGTTTCCCAAACTTGGGTTTCCAGCCGTTGTTGGATTACAAATCCCATCATCCTTGAACACTGGTCCAGCTAGCTAGGGATGATGGGAGTTGTAGTCCTAAAGCAGCTGGAGACCCAAGTTTGAGAAACATTGGCAGCTAAGCAAAAGAGGGGCAGGGAGATTTTATTCAAATGGATTGCCTTTCTGCTCTTGGTTCTGGTGGCTAGATTTTGCTTTGGGCTGGGGAACATTCATGGGTTCAAGGGGAAATTGGCAGGACCTGGAAGGAGCTCTGGAACACAGGAAATTTCCTTACAACTTCTATATAGACCATTGGCCTATATAGTTCAGTATTGTCTACACTGACGGGCAACACCTCTGTGGCATTTATTTTATTATTTCATTTCATAAAATGTATACGCCACTTCAATATCACATGCTTTTTCTTGTTAAATAATGATTACTTGCCATCACGACACTGGAGTTAAACACAGAATCTAAACACTGCTTTTCTTGGTGGAAGTCTCTGTTGACTAAAGGTAAAGGTAAAGGGACCCCTGAACATTAGGTCCAGTCGTGACCGACTCTGGGGTTGTGGCACTCATCTCGCTTTATTGGCCAAGGGAGCCAGCGTACAGCTTCTGGGTCATGTGGCCAGCATAACTAAGCCACTTCCGGCGAACCAGAGCAGCGCATGGAAACGCCGTTTACCTTCTCGCCGGAGTGGTACCTATTTATCTACTTGCACTTTGACGTGCTTTCGAACTGCTAGGTTGGCAGGAGCAGGGACTGAGCATCGGGAGTGCACCCCGTCGCAGGGATTCGAACCGCCGACCTTCTGATCGGCAGGTCTTAGGCTCTGTGGTTTAACCCACAGTGCCACCCGCACTACGCACATGCAAATTGTTCATTCCAAGCCAGGTTCAGTGCTTGCACATTTCCGCATCAGTTTCCAGCGTTGTTTATTTTATTTTTTATTTTTTAAAGTCCTTATGGCATCTGCAAAGATCAGATTCTTCCAATATCCATAGGCTCAGCTGTGTTTCTGCCTCTTGTTCCTTCCATCTGAGCATCCTCTGCTTTCTTCCTTTACAGACCTATTGTGATATGGAGACGGACGGAGGCGGCTGGACAGTGATCCAGTACAGAGTCAATGGCAGCGTCAGCTTCCAAAAGAACTGGAAAGAGTACAAACAGGTCTGATTCTCCCTTGGACTTGTCATCCTCAATCCGTCAGATCTTTTCGATCAAAAGTAGAAAGAGCGGAGACCACATAGCAATCACCACGGGGCCAATAGCAGCCCACGGCTTTGCTGACCCCTATTTTGCTGACCCACTGGCTTCCTGAGGCCATGCGCCAGTGTGCATCATTTTATGCAGAGGAAACTTGCTCGCCACAGTTTGATCAGTTGCACAATCTTCTCTCCCAAATCAAGCAGGGGGAAACCGTATACCGGGGCTCTGCACAGCACTGATTGGCCAGGCAAGGTGAAGTCACCAACCCACTTTGCTCTCCCTCCCCAATCACTGTTTCAGCATCCAAAAAATTATTCAGTAGTGATGGATTCAAGGAAGGGGGCAAATGGGCATTCTTCTGGATAAATTACTTTAAACGTAAAAAAACGAGACAGCTGATCTGAAGCCGGGCAGTACATAACACAGCAGAAGCTTCTTCTTCTCCATGTTGCACAAAGTAACAAGAGGGAATCGGAAGGTTGGAGTCAACTAAATTACTCTCAGAGTAGACCCAGTGAAATTAATGGACTTGGACTATTCATGTCTATTAATGAGTCTACTCTGAACTAACATTGGATACAACCAATAGTGTTGGAAATGACCACAGAGTTAATCTCACCTTTCCTACCATGGAACACCCCCACCCCAAAAATATGTGCCATCTAATTTTTACAAGACATTGCGGTGTGGAGAGCTCCTGTTCAGGGTTCCAGCCAGCCAACTGTGGTCCTCTTGCCAAATACTCCATTCCGTTCTGTTCCTCTTCCCAGTTTTCTGTCCCTTTCTCCAGAAGACTCAGCACGCTGTTGCTCTTCATCTGTCTGTTTTTTGGGGGGAAGGTTGCCTAAATATTTTTTCCCTAAATGATGATTGTACATCTGCAGACCTTGGAGTTCTCTGGACCATGCTGATCCCATTTCTTCTCTCTCTCCCCAACCCGTGGTCCCATTTCGACCGCAATCCTTTCAGCCCTCACCGGCTGAATTCAATATTCATGCGAGGAACAGCCTCTTAGCTGATATATGCCGAGAACTTAATTGAGCAACCCACTTAGTGCTTTGTGTTTTGCCTCTCCCAGGGCTTTGGGGATCCAGCAGGAGAATACTGGCTGGGGAACGAGGCAGTCCACCTCTTGACCAACCAGGGAGCCTATTCTTTGAGAGTCGAACTCCTGGACTGGGAAGGAAATCGCGCCTACGCCCACTACGAAAAGTTCCAGCTGGGAAGCGAGCGTCAGCGATACAGGTAACATGTGGTCTTTGCCAACTGTATGCAAACAGCATGGTAGGTGTTTATCAGCAGGGTTCAAATCCCCACTCAGCCGTGGAGCTCACCTTGGGCCAGTCGCCATCTCTTAGCCTAACCTACCTCACAGGGTTGCTGTGCGGATGAAATGGGGCGGGGGAGAGAGAGAGAACCATGGACACCACAGTTCAGACCCTCTGAGTGTCCCTGTTTCCAGGGACAGTCCCGGATTTACAAAAGCCATTCCAGTTTTCTGATCTTACCCCGGAATATCCCGCTTTTCTTTAGGACATTCCTATTTTCATTGGAGAAATGTTGGAGGGTTTGGTAAAGGTAAAGGGACCCCTGACCATTAGGTCCATTCCTGGCCGACTCTGGGGTTGCGGCGCTCATCTCGCTTTACTGGCCGAGGGAGCCGGCTTACAGCTTCCAGATCATGTGGCCAGCGTGACTAAGCTGCTTCTGGTGAACCAGAGCAGCGCATGGAAACGCCATTTACCTTCCCGCCGGAGCGGTACCTATTTATAATAATAATAATAAATTTTATTTATATCCCGCCCTCCCCAGCTGAAGCCGGGCTCAGGGCGGCTAACAACAATAAAACAGTACAAAAGTACAACACAACACAACACAACACAACACTCTAAAATCACTCATTATAAAATTACCGTATTTTTTGCACCATAACACGCACTTTTTTCCTCCTAGAAAGTAAGGGGAAATGTCTGTGCGTGTTAAGGAGGGAATGCCTACGGGTGGCATGCCTACGGATTTTCCTCCTCTAAAAACTACATGTGTGTTATGGTCGGGTGCGTGTTATAGAGCGAAAAATACGGTAATTCAAATCAAGCCACTGGCAACCATTGGGCCAGAGCTCCGCGAAGATTGCCGAGGGAGGGAGTCAGGCTGTGCCCTGGCCAAAGGCCTGGTGGAACAGCTCTGTCTTGCAGGCCCTGCAGAAAGATGTCAAGTCCCGCAGGGCCCTAGTCTCTTGTGACAGAGCGTTCCACCAGATCGGAGCCACAGCCGAAAAAGCCCTGGCTCTAGTTGAGGCCAGCCTAACCTCTCTGTGGCCTGGGACCTTCAAGATGTTTTTATTTGAAGACCGTAAGTTTCTCTGTGGGACATACCAGGATGACACCAAACTGGGAGGGGTGGCTAACACCTCAGAGGACAGGATCACACTTCAAAACGACCTTGACAGATTAGAGAACTGGGCCAAAACAAACAAGATGAACTTTAACAGGGAGAAATGTAAAGTATTGCACTTGGGCAAAAAAATGAGAGGCACAAATACAAGATGGGTGACACCTGGCTTGAGAGCAGTACATGTGAAAAGGATCTAGGAGTCTTGGTTGACCACAAACTTGTCATGAGCCAACAGTGTGACGTGGCAGCTAAAAAGCCAATGCAATTCTGGGCTGCATCAATAGGAGTATAGCATCTAGATCAAGGGAAGTAATAGTGCCACTGTATTCTGCTCTGGTCAGACCTCACCTGGAGTACTGTGTCCAGTTCTGGGCACCACAGTTCAAGAAGAACACTGACAAACTGGAACGTATCCAGAGGAGGGCAACCAAAATGGTCAGTGGCCTGGAAACGATGCCTTATGAGGAACGGCTAAGGGAGCTGGGCATGTTTAGCCTGGAGAAGAGGAGGTTAAGGGGTGATATGATAGCCATGTTCAAATATATAAAAGGATGTCATATAGAGGAGGGAGAAAGGTTGTTTTCTGCTGCTCCAGAGAAGCGGACACGGAGCAATGGATCCAAACTACAAGAAAGAAGATTCCACCTAAACATTAGGAAGAGCTTCCTGACAGTAAGAGCTGTTCGACAGTGGAATTTGCTGCCAAGGAGTGTGGTGGAGTTTCCTTCTTTGGAGGTCTTTAAGCAGAGGCTTGACAACCATATGTCAGGAGTGCTCTGATGGTGTTTCCTGCTTGGCAGGGGGTTGGACTCGATGGCCCTTGTGGTCTATTCCAACTCTATGATGCGATGAGAGGCGGTCCCGTAGGTACGAGGGTCCTAGGCCGTATAGGGCTTTAAAGGTTAGAACCAGCACCTTAAACCTGATCCTGTACTCCACCGGGAGCCAGTGCAGCTGGTATAGCACCGGGTGAATGTGATCTCGCAGCGAAGACCCCGTAAGGAGTCTCGCCGCGGCATTCTGCACCCGCTGGAGTTTCTGGGTCAGTCTCAAGGGCAGCCCCATGTAGAGCAAGTTACAATAATCCAGTCTGGAGGTGACCGTCACGTGGATCACAGTTGCTAGGTCAGGGCGAGAGAGGTAAGGAGCCAACTGCTTAGCTTGGCGGAGATGGAAAAATGCCGCCTTTGTTATAGCTGCAATCTGCGCCTCCATGGAAAGGGAGGTGTTGAATATTACACCCAAACTCTTAACGGACAGTGCTGGCACTAAATGCGCCCACGCAAGAGAAGGGAGTTGCCCCCCCAATCCCATATTTATCTACTTGCACTTTGATGTGCTTTCGAACTGCTAGGTGGGCAGGAGCAGGGACCGAGCAATGGGATCCCCATCGCGGGGATTCGAACTGCTGACCTTTTGATCAGCAAGTCCTAGGCTCTGTAGTTTAACCCACAGCGCCACCCGCGTCCCTGGAGAGTTTGGTAGGACATCCCTATTTTCATCAGAGATATGTTGGGGGGTATGGAGTTATGCAACCCCCGAACCATCTGAAGGCAGCCCTGTACAGTGGTACCTCTGGTTGCGAACGGGATCCATTCCGGAGGACCATTCGCAACATGAAAAGAACGCAACCTGCAGCGGCGCATCTGCGCACGCACGGGTTGCGATTCACCACTTTTGCGCGTGATGTCATTTTGCGCTTCTCTGCATGTGCGAGCAGCAAAACCCAGAAGTAACCCGGAAGCATTACTGTATTTTAATATTGTGTTGGAAGCCGCCCAGAGTGGCTGGGGAAACTCAGCCAGATGGGCGGGGTATAAATAATAAATTATTACTATTATTATTATTATTATTATTATTATTATTATTATTTGCGTTGGGAGCCGCTGTAGAAACTGTGAGAATGATCAGGAACATACCAGAGAGTGAATCCTATTCAACTTAGTGGGACTTAGTTCTGAGTGTTTAAGACTGACCATTTTTTACCCCATTACATAGGAGTAAACTCCATTGAATACAGTGGAACTTCCTTCTGAGTAAACAGTGTAAGGCTCCATTTACAATAAAGGAATAAGCACTCCCTGTGTTTTCTAAGAAATGGTTGGCTGCGGAAGCACGGCAGTGAAAGAATTTAAAGTGGATTGGTGACATTGTCTTTCAAAATGATAGGATGGGCTTTTTATGCCAGCTTCACCATCTCCTTCGTTTAGTGCAGGACTTTTATTTCCAGGATAAACAGGAGTCTGTTTTTCCACCTCCAAGACGTGGAGGGGAGGAAAAAGGAAACGCAGGACATTTTGGGATCAAATCAGAAACGGCGACTGAAATATACTCGGAGTCGAGAGTGGATTTCATGCTCTTTATTCAGCTCATAGTGGTGAGGAGGAATGGATGTTCCCCCAGAATGTCTGCTTTATATACCGTAGATTATTTACACAATGGGCCCCACGTGATTGGCTAATTCTGGGATTCACCTGTAGGCCAATCAGGTTGCTGATTCACTTCCACCTGGAGCTGGATTGGGTGGCTTCTGTGGACTAATCAGATTGCTGCATTCTGGACCCTATTGTTCTAGGACCAATCAGACTGCTGCATTTTGGATCCTATTCAACTCAGTACATAACAGGGACAGCTTCTGTAATTCCTGGACTGTCCCTGGAAAATCAGGGCGCTTGGAGGGTATGAGATCACCTTCATTTTAGAGCTAATCCCTGTCTGGAATCTGATAGAGAACTGGTCTCACCTCCTAAACCACTGAGCTCCATGCAGATTCCACCCGGGGTTTTTTCGTACGTGCTTCAAGCACCAAATCAGCCAAAGCCACCCGAATGAAAATGCTTGTTCTGGCCAGCTTAGAAGGAGATTTGAACCTACTCTGATAAAGGCGAAGGGGCTTGGACAAGTTGTTCCGAAAGTGCTTTGCCCTGGAGGTCAGCCACCTAGCAAATCCTCAGCCCGGGTGCAGGGACCGTCTCCTGTGGGTTTAATGGGGAATCTGAACCCATCTCAGGTGGCCTCTTGTGAGAGAACTTTGCCACCTAGCAAATCTCCAGCTCTGTTTGTGTCTTCACCTCCACTTTCCTTGGGAGCTGCCCATCCAAGAGCTGAGTGTGCCAAGCCTCTTTTAACTTGCTGGTATTTATGGATGTGACTAGGGGTTTCTGGCGAGCAACTGTTTCTCAGAGAACATGGTGCTCTTTCAGGGTGTCCTCCTTGCCCTCTGCTCACCAGGCAAGGGCACTTCTCATTTCATCTGCTTTTGATCTGCTGAGGTATTTGTGGAATTCCAAAAACATCATCATCACCATCACCACCACCACCATCATCATCATCATCATCATCATCATCATCTCTCTCTCTCTCTCTCTCTAATTTTTATTTATTGTCCATTTAATAATATACATTCACATCATCATTATCCACTTTACCTCCCTGGCTGTTTACACTCGTTACAAAAATAGCTCAAAATTTAAATAAATATAGAAAGGGAGAAGACTTCTCATTACAAGTCTTCAGATAACCCTGATAGTGATGTTAATTGCTTACAATAATCTTTCAGATATCGTATAAATTTACTCCAGTCCTTTTGGAATACTGTACTTAATCGTGCTGGTTTCGGATTTTTCCTGTCTGCTTCACCAGTTCTGCAAAGTCCATCATCTTCATCTTCCCCTCTTCTTTCGTTGGTACTTCTTGCTGTTTCCATTTAGGGGCTAAAAAAATTCTTTCCGCAGTTGTTGCATACATAAACAGTCTTTTATCTTCCCTTGGTATCTCTTCACCCACTACACCCAATAAAAAAGGCTTCTGGTTTTTTAACAAAAGTATTTTTTAAATAATTTCTTTAACTTGTTATATATCATTTCCCAGAAAGCCTTTCCCTCTTTACAAGTCCATCACATGTGGTAGAAAATCCCTTCCCTTTCTTTACATTTCCAGCACTCATCGGTTCTTGTCCGGTACATTTTAGCAAGTTTAAAAGGTAAAGGGACCCCTGACCATTAGGTCCAGTCGTGACCGACTCTGGGGTTATGGTTATGATTATGATTATGATTATTTATACCCCACCCATCTGACTGGGTTTCTCCAGCCACTCTGGGCGGCTCCCAACAGAATTAAAAGCACAATAAAATATCAAACATTAAAAACTTCCCTAAACAAGGCTGCCTGTTTAGGAAACGCCCTGGGAGCCAATGAAGTCTTTCAGGACCGGTGTTTTATGGTCTCATCAGCCACTTCCAGTCCCCAGTCTAGCTGCCACATTCTGGATTAGTTTCAGTTTCCGGGTCACCTTCAAAAAAGACACAAGACTTACCCACACTGGAGGAATGGCAGATGAAATTGATGGACTACATGGAGTTGGCGGAAATGACTGGCAGAATCCGAGACCAGGGAGAAGAGTCGGTGGAAGAAGATTGGAAGAAATTTAAAGACTATTTACAGAAATATTGCAAAATTAATGAATGTTAGAATGATGTTGGATTGAAGTTAAGTGGTTTCTAGCTGTACTGGTATAAAAGAATATGGAAAAATTGGTTTTTAATATGTAAAAATTTAATGTTATAATATATCAAGATTAAAGATTAGGATTAAAAAGGAGGGAAAGGAATTGCTGGATTAACAAATTGAATTGGAATACAAAAGAGGGAGGTATGAGGAGGTCCGGGAAACAAGTAAATGTAAAAGAAGCGATGAAAAGATGGAATTGTTTTTAACTGTTTTTTTCTTCTTTGTATTTTGTATTTTTCCTTTTTATTGTTAATTTTCTCATTAATGTGATTTTTCTTTTTTTGAAATTTTAATAAATATTATTTTTTTAAAAAAAAAATCTATCCCCAGCCCTGCACACAAGGAACTGCAGTCCTGGAGCCCCAGCCTCTGCCTTCCTGCTCTCTGCTGCAACTTGTAGGGGATTTTGTTCTTTCTCATCATGAGGTCTTCTGTTCCACAGGCTTTTCTTGAGAGGCTACAAAGGCAGCGCTGGGCAGCAGAGTGGCTTGCCTCTCCAAGGCACGGGCTTCAGCACGCGAGACGCTGACAATGACAACTGCCGGAACTGCAAGTGTGCCCAGATGCTTTCTGGTGGTGAGTTGGCCTTTGTGCTCCCTGACTGGGAAGCAAGGGAAGAGAGAGCAAGGGGTCAAGTGAGAATCCAAGAGCTTTGAATCTTGAGTTTCTCTTTTTCCAGGCTAAAGCTCTTCACATTTCCAAATCAGTTTGCATACACACATATATAAGGCATCAGCATTTCAGTGCAAAATTCTCATCCTATAAACATTTGCATGTAATTCCCCCTGCTATACACATTTTTGCAGAGCTGCTTCATGTTTTTTTCACTAATGTATACAATTTTACACACACTTTCCTCCATTGCTTGGCCAGACAGCTATATTGTAAAATTGGGGAAAGAGCACATTTTTTTAAGGATGGCTGCGTTTCCGTTCTCATATTGCTTCAAAAAGTGTAAATTTCTCTTCAAACCAAGACTCCACTAAAAGCCTACGAGCTTTGGCATTTTAAAGCAGTTTGCGTTTTCAAGCACTCTGTACATGTTTGTCTTCTGCTTAAGCATTTGGACAGCAGTGGCTCACAAACGTTTTGGAGGCCACTGCTCCCTTGGTTCTATAAACTCATCCCCAGTGCCCCCCACCCTATAAAACGTGGTTTGCATGAATAGTGATTTGCAAGAGCCACTGAGGAAGGCAATAACACAATAAAATTCAAAACAGTAGCCTACAGGGCCGCCTCTCCTGGTATGTCCCACAGAGGACTTTATGGTCTTCAAACAAAAACATATTGGAGATCCTGGGCCACAGGGAGGTTAGATTTGTTTCAACTAGGGCCAGGGCTTTTTTGGCCGTGGCTCCGATCTGGTGGAACGCTCTGTCACAAGAGACTAGGGCCCTGCGGGACTTGACATCTTTCCACAGGGTCTGCAAGATGGAGCTGTTCCACCAGGCCTTTGGCCAAGGCACAGTCTGACCCCCTCCTTTGGTAATCCTCACAAAACTCTAGCCCAATGGTTGCCATTAATTTGATTCTGAATTGATTTTAGAATGCTGTGTTTACTTTTACTGCTGTTAGCCGCTCTGAGCCCAGCTTCGGCTAGGGAGGGGGGGATATAAATAAAATCTTATTATTATTTACTTAATTAATTAATTAATTGCACATTTATTCAGAATCCAATTAAAACCATTCAGTTCACTTATTCCAACAAAACTAATGAGCTTGATCCAGCGATACCAGCTTTTCGAAGCTGGATAGTCATCTCCACTTCCAGCGACACCCCACTTGCCTCTTAGTGCCCCCCTAGCTGGGGTGCCAACTTGAATAAAAATATTGGGGGTCCCAGGTAAGCCCTGCCCTGCATAAATAATCACAAGATGTGGCAGCACACACATGGCAATGCCCATCAACTTTTGGGGGGTGTCCCACTCAAATATTTTATGGAGGGGCAAAGGGACCTCAGCCCCGAGGAATTGAATCCCACCACAGCCAGGGGGTGGTAGCACCTACTTTGGGACCCACTAATCTATGGTTTGCTTCTCCTGATTAACGTTCAGGTTGGTGGTTTGATGCCTGCGGACTCTCGAATCTGAACGGCATTTATTACCCGGCGAAGCACAATATCCGGAAACTGAATGGGATCCGATGGCACTACTTCCAGGGACCGGGCTACTCGCTAAAGGGCACGAGGATGATGATCCGGCCTTTGGGCAGCCCTGAAGGAGCATAGCGGAGAGACACCAACAGTGGCGTAGCATGGGGGGTGCAGGGGGGGCTGGCCGCACCGGGCGCAACATCTGGGGGGGCGCACTCGCACTCGAGTGCTAAAATCCAACGGGTTAGGGGGTGCAAATTACTTGCTTTGCCCCGGGTGCTGACAACCCACGCTACGCCACTGGACGCCAAGCAGGGCTGCAGTTTCTGTGAGCCAGGGAGAGCAAACCTTGGCACAGGTAACAGGAACTGCCTTCCGGTTTGGAGAGGTGGCAGGTGCAGAGAGACTCCCTGAGAAAGAGGCCCTCACGGCTAGGAATTCATGGCTGCAGTCGGACGCAAACAGCACCAGCTTTCTCTTTCTCCTCCCAGATGGCGCAGGAAGCTGTCTTTTGTGGGCTTTTGGACTTCCGAGAAAATGTACGGCGAACTATTCTGTATGTTAAAGGCTGAATCTGCCCGTGAAAAGTGCGTCCTGCTCTCCGGCTTGTTTGGGGGCAAGGGGTGAGCTTGTTGGGTAAATGCAGAAAAATCTGGTCAGATTTATATTATGTTGTTGTTGTTGTTTAGTCGTTTAGTCGTGTCCGACTCTTCATGACCCTATGGACCAGAGCACGCCAGGCACTCCTGCCTTCCACTGCCTCCCGCAGTTTGGTCAAACGCATGCTGGTAGCTTCAAGAACACTGTCCCACCATCTCGTCCTCTGTCGCCCCCTTCTCCTTCTGCCCTCCATCTTTCCCAACATCAGGGTCTTTTCCAGGGAGTCTTCTCTTCTCATGAGGTGGCCAAAATCTTGGAGCCTCAGCTTCAGGATCTGTCCTTCCAGTGAGCACTCAGGGCTGATTTCCTTCAGAATGGATAGGTCTGATCTTCTTGCAGTCCATGGGACTCTCCAGAGTCTCCTCCAGCACCATAATTCAAAAGCATCCATTCTTCGGTGATCAGCCTTTATATTATTTATATTATGCTTCAGGCTTTATTTGAGCAAAGGCACACATGATCCTGCCTGTGTTGGACACTGGTTCTGCAGAGATTGGTGGGAGTTCAGAAACATCTGGATTGCCAAAGGTTTTCCCCATCCCTGATTTATATAGGACAGAGTCATGTTCTGAAGATGAAGTTCTGAGTTCCCTTCTTTTGCTTCACATAAACACAAATAGGCTCAGAGACCCCACAATTTGGAGCTTCGGTGCCGTGAATGGACTAAGCTGCCCTCTGCTGGCACAGTCTGGGTTGCAACATCCTTGCAAGAGACTGTGAAGCATCTCTGCTGTGGTCGAGGGGGTGGGAGTCAAACTGGCCATTTTCAACCCCTTGCTTCAGCGATGACTGGGTAAGCTGGTCTTTTCTCCACGTTGAACTGGTCAGCAGGGCTAGCCCAAGATGGAAAAATCAAAAGGACCCCACTCCTTATTTGGCAGCAGGGGGAATCAAGTCTCCAGCGAACCCTCCTGCAAAAGGCTCAGTAAAATCTCACCTCGCCTTGGCAGTTCTGTTTCAAAACATTTTGAGCCAAGGCATGAATGTGACGGGGGCAGCTTTAACTGTGCTCTACCTGCAGGATATCTGTCTGCCATTTACTTGTGGAGCAGCTTCTCTGGAGAAAAGGTGGTACAACACCCCAAACCCTCCAGCTTCGAAAGCTGAGATTTCCCCCTTCTGCCTGCCCTGTATTTATCCCTACAAGCCCTGCATGAGGGCCAAAGCATGACAGCTGCCTGGAAAATAATGTTGGTGAACATTCCGTGACGTGCAGCAACTCTGCTGATAGCGAAGTGGCCATTTTTCGCTTGCAATATACCGTATTGGCCCGAATATAAGCTGCACCTGAATACAGTATAAGCTGCACTTCTAAAATTGGAGGGGGGGGAGGGGAAAAAAATACCCGAATATAAGCCTCTCCATTCCTTGCTGCTCCTGGCTACATACTAGACAGGGGGAGGGGACCATAGCTGTCAACTTTTTCCTTTTCTTGCGAGGAATCCTATTCAGAATAAGGGAATTTCCCTTTAAAAAAGGGGAACGTTTGCCCCATGCACCTGGCTGCATTTATATGCCACACTTTAACTTTTCACGGTCGGAATTTGGGGAGGGGGGGAGTGAGGCTTCTTTTCAGGCCAATACAGCATAAAACAAGAAGTATTTTTCTTTCTGTTGCACCTCCAACGTAGCAAAGCGCTTCACTTCCTACGGTGGCCTGGAGTCCAGGGATGGCAAATTGCCCAGGGCCCAAATCTCACCCAGGGAGCACATGATTCCAAATGTTCATAGATGCACACAACCACATGAATGGAAGTTTGATCAGTCTATATACCACAAATGATCCCCATTTGCTCTGCATGAAATCCATTTGTGGGAGGTCGGCGGGTTGGTGTGGATATAATTTCTGGTTGACTTTAGAGTCCGAGGCCGTCAAATTGTGACACTCTGGTGTCTCTGCCTTGTACCTGGTCCAAGAGACATCAGGGCAGACACCTGGGATCCTTTGGGAGGAAGGACACATAATAATAATAATAATAATAATAATAATAATAATATAGTATCCTTGCCATGGATATTAGTGAAAAATAGGTCGATTGGGATCACAGAATCCTCTCCTTAATGCACAATTTCACTTAGTTTTAAATGAGCTTTGTAAATAGTCATCTTTGTTTTGTGATTGGGTTGTTGTCTATGATCCAGTAGAAGAAAGGAGTTGTATTCACTCTCATATTAAGCTTTATGTAGCTGACCACCAGTCTCATCTTTGTCTTTTTCACCCCGTCCACTTCAAAGTGTTTCCTAAATGGTTTTTTGTTGTTGTTGTTGTTTTTGCTGCTGAAGTGATGTATTTGACAATTCTACAGTTTAAATGATACAGCAATTAACTTTGTATAATACAGTTGTGGTACAATAGTCAATGTTCAGCTTTTATTCTTCCACATTTGCCTCTGTAATGTTAATTTGTACTATGTATCTGAAAAATAAACCCCAAACAAAAAACTTCAGCCAAACTCCCCTTCCTCCTTCAGCTTTACTGATAGTTTAAAATTACATTTCTATATTTTAGGACTTCAGTTGCTTTTACCATCTGACGGTATTTGAGATCTTTGTTCATTCGAATGTTTCTTTCTTTTATTCTTATCTCTGGGAAACCAAAGAAAGGCTTTGGAAAGTGGCTATCGAGGGAATGATGTTGGTCAAGTTAGTATTGTTAATGTTGTTGGTTAATATACCAAGATGAACGCGAAGAGGGAGTATTTTTTAAAGCTTTGAAAGAGCTCCATGACGGGTAACCAGCAGGCAGCACAAACCTGGAATAAAAAGCGTTTTGTTTTGAGCTTAGTGGAAAGTCGTCGTTTAGGAAAGGTTGGCATTTAGATGATGACGTTGGGATTCAGACAGTTCATTATTTAGGAGCGATAATCCAATACATTTTGAATTACAGTAGATTTTAAAAATGAGAGATCATTGCTGATATACATGAGTTCAAGCATATAAATATTAAAGTCTAGTCTTGGGGAGGGACAGACACTTTTGACACCTTAGCCTCTCAATTATCTTGACTTCTCCACCTCCTTCAGGACAAGAATGGAGAGATCATTTCAATAAGATTTTTGAAGAAAAGCCTAACTCCTTAAGAAGCTTTGGAAAGCTTTCGAAATGCATTTTCACTTACCGTATTTTTCGCTCTATAGGACGCACTTTTTCCCCCTCCAAAAATTAAGGGGAAGTGTGTGTGCGTCCTATGGAGCGAATGTAGGCTCCTTGGCTTCAGCGACAGCAACGCTAAGCCTCTGAAGCGCAGAGGGAGCGCTCCCTCCACGCTCCGGAGGCTACGCGTTGCTTTCACTGAAGCCTGGAGAGCGAGAGGGGTCGGTGCGCACTGATCCCTCTCGATCTCCAGGCTTCAGGGATAGCTGCCTAAAGCCTTTGGAGCGCAGTGGCTATCCCTGAAGCCTTTGGAGCGCAGCGGGACCTCGTGCTCCGCTCCAAAGGCTTTGGGTTCCTTTTGCTGAAGCCTGGAGAGCAAGACTCTCCTGGCTTCAGCAGAGAGGGAGAGCTGCGCAGCTCCCCTTCAGCGAAGCGGGAGGAGAAATGGAAGGGGCTCCGTTTCTCCTGCCGCTTTGCTAAAGGGGTGCTGAGCAGAGAGGGGGAGAATTTTTTTTTCTTGTTCTCCCCCTCTAAAACAAGGTGCATCCTATGGTCGGGTGCGTCCTATAGAGCGAAAAATACAGTATTACAATTACCACTATTGCGTTCTTTGTTTCCCTCTCTCATGCTATATCTCATTATCCTGTAAATACAGTTTTGAAAATTTGAAATAAACTAAGTTTTTATAAAGAACTTTTTCTCAGGTATTTTGAGTTGCGTTCAACATCTGTACAACACCTGTCAGAATCCACAGGAAATACAGGAGGATGTTCTTAATGGATAATAGCACACATTCAGGTTAACACAAGCAACTCAAGAGTTTGGTACTGGAGTGTGAGAACTGATCTCTTTATCCTGGATTTTGACCCCTGAGGTATTTACTTTTAGGCCCCACCTTATTTCTTGGATTTCAAGTTGTTTTGAATTGGGGGGTTTTCCCCCAAGGTGGCCCGCGAAACAGATGTTTAATTGAGGTGCATTCTGTAACATGTTCTTGGTTTCTTTCTGTTTATTTTATTTTTCAAAAAATTACAGACATACAAATCACAAACACACAAATCGCACACAATTCCAATACACACATATATTTGACTTCCACCACCCCCACCTTTTGTGGTTTCTTTTTAATTTCAATGTTTTATGCTGCATTTTAACATTAAACAATTTTTAAGTTACTTTTCAGTTTCTGAAAAAAATTCCTTCCAGCAGCACCTTAGAGACCAACTAAGTTTGTTATTGGTATGAGCTTTCGTGTGCATGCACACTTCTTCAGTTACCAAGTGTGCATGCACACGAAAACTCATACCAATAACAAACGTAGTTGGTTTCTACGGTGCTGCTGGAAGGAATTTTTTTATTTTGTTCTGACTACGGCAGACCAACACAGCTACCTACCCATATCTTGATAATATGTTTAACTGCTTGTTTTACCCTGTTTTACCATGCTAATGAACTTATTTGCATACAATAATTTTTCAAATATTCCACAAATTTTGATAATGTTTTCTTCTTCTTGGTTTCTTATTACACCTGTTAATCTTGCCATTTCAGCATAATCCATTAATTTAATCAGCCCCTCATTCTTGGTTAGTACTGCATCTTCTTTCCATCTCTGGGCAAAAACCATTCTAGCTACAGTTGTAGCATACATAAACAATTATTATTATTATTATCGTTATCTTTTGGTATTATCCCTAGAAGAAAAGCTTCTAGTTTTTTGGGTTTTTTACTAAAAGTTATCTTGAACATTTTCTTCAATTCATTATAGATCATTCCCCAGAAAATTGTTTTCAATGTGTTTTAATTGCTGAAACCCACCTTAGGGCGAATGCTATTAATAGGGAACAGAAAGAGGAAGGAGCCATTTTTTCAACGAAATTCACATTTTCACCATGTGAGCTTGGCATCCAAGCAAAAGAGGAGACCCACAGCCTGTGGTTCAGACAACATCTTTGCTTGGGCTGAGTGACTGTGTAGGGAGATCCAGTAGATCAGGCATAGGCAAACTCGGCCCTCCAAATGTTTTTTGGGACTACAACTCCCATCATCCCTGACCACTAGTCCTGTTAGCTAAGAATGATGGGAGTTGTGGTCCCAAAACATCTGGAGGCCCGAGTTTGCCTATGCCTGCAGTAGATCCTTACTCCTCCTAATGCCTATAGCTCTCGCACTGGTGTTTACTGAATCCAACATGTAGGATTCTGACTCTCCCACCATGCTCATTTGCTCGCACTGAAATATATTTTCACAATGAACAGATCCAAGCAGGGCCGGATTT